GAGGACAGGACATACTGCCTGCCGGTCAGCCCGCATCCGGGGAGGGGGGCTCGGTTTCACTTGCACGCCTTTCTGGAATCCGAGCCAGTCTGTCTCTCCACAAAGGCTGGGATGATGGGGCTTCTCTCTCCGGCAGCAGGTGCCTGGCAGCTGCCCGGGGATGCCAGCCCCGTGAGCTGGCATGGGAGGAAGTGCTTGTCAGGGTGGTCATTATACGTGCTGGGCTCCAACTGGCCCAGCCGCCACGCCTGACGTTCAGGCTGACTTGGGACACCTGTGAGAGAGTGGTGCCTCCGGCAGGGCCCCCAGGGTCTCCCTGGGGTCCCCCAGACAGAACCTAGCAGTGCCAGCCTTTGAGCATAATATCTAAACTGAGTCCCTGTGCCACCCCCTCTGGCCTGTCTGCCTGCCTCTGTCCTGGGAATGTCCTGAGGCCCCTTGTCTGGGGACGGGCGTGGGGGTAGGGTTTGGGACAGGAAACCTGAGCTTCACTCCTGGTATCTCAGGCACTTCTTGATATCACACCACTGCCTCCAGAGTGGAGGCCCAGCTCACAGCGCTCTGAGTGTGCACCTGTGCGTGAATCGGCCCGTGTAGGTGAGGATGTCAGATGGCCCCGTGCCTCATCTGCCAGGGGAATGCAGAGCGGCAGCTGGGACTGCCTGTGAGCAAGGGGCAGGGGACGCAGAAGACAGAAAGGACCCCGTGGAGGAGAGGAGCCCAGCGAGTTCAGCAGACCTCCCAGCTGCCGTGCTCCGGGCACCCATGTGAGGGGCGCTGCGGGGGTGTGGAGGTGCCCAGCCCGCCGCCCGGGGCTGCAGGGACACTGTGGTGGCTGCGCCCGTTCTGTCCCGGCTCCTTCTCTGTCCCTCCTGCTCTCCCAACCTCCGGGCTCGAGTCTCGTGGCCGCAGGGCTGAGGGCAGGGTAGCCGCTGGCACGGGGCAGGGTGGCTGCCAAAGCCGTGGCCCCGGGGTGAGCGCTGACGTCTATCCAGGAGCATCTCTCTCCCTGCCAAGGGTTGAGCTTTCTGGGCCGCGTGCCTTCCCTCTGACACAGGAGCTGGCATCCGTCCCTCGGAGCCACCCGCTGCCTGGACCCCAATCTCACCCCAGAACTGCCTGGTGACAGCTGGGGCCCGACTCGTGCCTCCCTCCAGGGGAGCCCGCCCTATGGCACGCCAGGCGAAGGCCCACCTCGGCTGCTGGGGAAGACTCCACCCACACGAGGGGCCCAGGAACCCCACATGCCAAGCCTGGGCTTTGAGAACGATGGGAAGCTGCTGTGTGGGCCCAGACCCAGCCGTAGTGTGTCCTGAGCTTGCCAGGCGGAGGCTGACCCTTCCCAGCTCAGGGTGGGGGCCCCAGCCTTTCTCCCTCCGCCAACACTTACGCAGCTCCCACTGTGCCAGCTACTGAGCTGGGTCCCAGCCACGTGGTGAGGTACACCGGCCACGAGCCCTGTCCTCAGGTTGCTGTCATGCTTTTCACTGGGATTTCTTGTAGGAAACACGTTTCTATCACTACCCATCCGAGATATATAACTATCTGAAACAGTGGTTTCACATGAAAACACGCATCCTGCCACACAGGGTATGCAGCTGTTCCCAATTCTGACATTATTTTTAAAACAGCTGGAAGTGGCCCACTACCCTGGAATGTGGCCTGCCCTCTGACAAACCTCCGTCTGGTTGGGGAAAGACAATTCAACAGGTGTCACAGAAGGGTGGTGTGGCTTCTGCCCATTTTGGACCAAGGGACCAACACCAGGTCTCACCAGGTTTCGGGGTACCAAACTCCAGGTCTCTCATAAGCAGATGGCTTACAAGGGAAATGGTGCTGGACACTGGGAGCCCACAGTCACATCAAGGATATAAAATGGGGTCCAGAGAGTAGAGGACTCAGGGGAGCTGTGGGAGGGTTTCTTTGGGAAGAACTGTCACATGCTGTTTCCAGGATCCTGTGGCCTTCTGCAGGCAGTGGGCTATGTGGGCTGCACCAACTTCTTCCTCAGGTCCCCAGAGGGCCTTCTTGGTGGGCTCTGACGTATTGGAGACATGGAGGATGGGCCTCCTGGGGTCTGAGAAAGCTTAGGTGGGCAGATGAAAGATGGGGCTTGATTGCCTGGGACGTGGAGGGGTTATAGGCCAGCTGCTCTGTGAAGCAGGCTGTGGCTGGGCATGGCTGCACCCCAGAGTGTTGTGTATGTGTGTGCGTGGATGGGGGTGCTCTGGTGCTTCTCCTAGGCCTGAGGTGGTGGGCGGGAGAGAGAGGCCTGTGTGTGCCACTGCAGCAGAGCCACCTGAGGGGTCGAGAAGCTTCGAGCAAGAGGCTGTTGCAGACTCACAGGGGCCCCTGGCCCACAGTATGGGCCATAGCATTGGCCCCATATTCATCCAGGCTCAGGGCGAGACTGTCTCCACTGAAGAAAATGGAATAAAATGGGCTTTGCAGGTGTTTGCAATGAGGCATGGTCAGTGCTATGACAAGGGAAGTACCTAGAGTGGGGACACATGATGGGGATGGGGGTGGGTGGTCAGGGTAGGCTCCCAGAGGAGGTGATGTCAAGATGAGTCCTGAGGACTGAGTGGAGAGGAGGCCAGTGTGCTGGGTGCAAGGAATGCAGCTGGCAGGACCTCCAGGAGGAAGAGCCCGGGTCCCTGAGGGTTGGAGAGAGAGAGAGAGACAGGCAGTCACAGAGGTTGGCCAGGCTGGAGGCCCGGGCACTGGTGGCCTGGACCCTGAGGCAACAGGAAACCAGGGAAGGGTGTATCCAGGAGGCAGTGATCTTGGACGAAAATACTCTGGTAGCTGAACAGTTGGGAAGGGACAGGGATAGAGGAAGGGAAGTCCCTGAGGGCCTGCCCTGGTCTCAACCCAGGCAGCAGTGAGTGAAGGACATGCGGGCAAGGCAGTGCCAGCAGGGCCCGGGCTGGCCCATGGGCGAGGAGGATCCGGCGGCTGCAGATGGCATGTGTGGGGCTCGGGCTGAGACGGACGAGCCCAGGGTTGGCTGGCTGGGCTTGAAAGCTGCGCAGATGTCCCAGGAGGCAGCCGGATGTGCCGGCCTGGCGCTCAGTGGAGGGAACTGGGCTCCAGATAAAGACTGGACTCTAGGTGTGGTGGCAGGGAGGGGGCAGGGGGGGGTTTCCTGCCTTCTTCCGGGGAGCGGGCTGGGGCTCCACGTGCTCGGGCATTTGGTGAGATCCCGGAGGATGTGCCCCCTAAGGAGGCACTCGCAGAGATGGAGGAGGGTCTGGAGGGGGTGGCACCACAGAAGCCCCAAGGAGACAGGATGTCCAGAGGGGGCTGCCGTCTGCCGAGTTAGCTGCCGTGGAGGAGCTCTGCAAGGTGGCACAGAGAGCTGGCTACAAAGATGCCTCTGCTGGCTGCGGAGCACTTCTGTGGGGCGGCGGGGCGGCGGGGCGCTGGGGCAGCAGTGAGGAGCCGGGGTGGGTGACACCGAGGAAGCCAGGGTCAGGTGCCACAGGGCCGGGCCTATCTTGACCATCTGGCTGTTCTCCACAGCCTCCCTCGCCCCAACCTTTCCCATTGTGGGAGCCCCAAAGCACACCCCCCTCACAGTGCCCCAGACTGGGGGTCCTGGGAGGTAGGACCCGGGTGCCCCCACTTTCCCTGGACCAGCCACACTCTCCGCTGTTCTCCTGGGAAAATGACGGGAAGTCCTGCATGGTTCTTGGGGTCTCATCTCGCCCCCCTGCACCACGGCCATCGCCTGGGCTTGTTGGGCCGCTGCCACTGCCCTAGTCAAATCATAAGAACGGAGTCCAGGCCAGGTCATGTAAGCCATTTATTGGTTTGTTTTAAAAATATGTATCTTATTTATACACGGAGTTTGGTGAGAAGTGCTCGATTAGCTCAGACAACAGCTGGCACCTGATGCTCCCTCCTTTCCTACCCTTTCCTCCCCTCCTGCTGGCCATCGTGCGGTTCTGGAAAAAAAAATGAGAGCCACGCGAGAAGCTAAGGAGTTGGGCCTAGCTCACCCTGCCTCAGCCTCAGCCCCAGGCACCTTTCTCAGGGCTCCTGGGTCACACACACACACACACACACACACACACACACACACACACACACACGAAACCACAGCTCCCTTCCGGCCAGCTGGGCAGCCAGCCGGCTTGCCTCTGCCTCCCAAACCACATTCCTGGCTGCGGTGGGTGCTAGTGCCAGGGAGGGGCACACGCCGCTCCAAGCCTCGAGAGCAAAGCACAGACAGCTACAAAAATAAGATTTCCACTCAGAGAAGTGTGTCTGGGATGGTCAGAGCCATGTCCCACGCTGGACTCAAGGGCAGCACGGGGAAGAGATCACCGGGACGGCTGGGGCGGGGGCTAGGGTTGCCACCAAGGGAACTCGGAGTGACAAAAAGAAACGTAATACTTGACTCGCCGGCAATGCCCCCTCAGCACCGCCAGGAGCTCGCAAACGTCCAGCCCTCCGACAGCTCGGCGAGGTAGGTGAGGAGCAGCCAGTTTCCAGCTCCCGGGGGGCTGCCGGGAGGCGGTGGCAGAGGTGGTGGCAGCGGCGGCCCCGCGGGAGAGCTGGGATGGGCCGAGCCCCTGCCTGCTCAGGCTCCGCCCCCCAACACTGTCACTCCCGGGGGTGACAGGTCTCAGCGTTGAAAGATTTGCATATGCTAAATAGGATTGTCAGCAGCTCAAGAGGCCCTGGGGGTAATTGGACTAGAAAAAGTATTTTTCCCTGAAAAGGCCTTCTCGTAAGACCTGTGGACCGCCTAGACCCTGCCCCAGGTTGACCCGTGGGTGTGTGCCACCAGGACCCCGGCTGAGCCAGAGGGGCTGGTCTGGGGCCACATGGCTCCCCTTCCCAAGGGAGTCCATCCCCCTCGCAGGGCAGGGAACTGACCATCCCAAGGCTCCTTCCCGGTGCCAGGCTCACACTGCCCTCCCCACTCCATCTGGAGAGCTGCTGGGCACCACACAGGAGTCCCCCACCCCCACCCCCCAATCGCACACAGGGCGAGAGGCAGAAAGGTCTGGAAAGAGAGCCCTGGCCATGACAACAGATTCCCTTCCTCAGATGGGCTGGGGCCCCACGGCTGAGGGCTGGTCAGCTTCCTAGCCCTTGTGGCACGGGGCTCAGGCTGCTCTTCCTGGCCCGTGGGGCAGGGCCTGCCGGCTTGGGGAGCAAGGACAAGCTGGGGGCTGGCCACACGTGGGGCCGGTTCCCTCATGCCCTTCACTTTAATATTAATACTCGTGCAGAGGGCTGGCCTCTCCCAGGAGGAAAAGGCAACATCATAGCCAGGACCAGCCCTGGGACCCAGGCCGCTCTTTTCTGGAAGCTTTGTGTTTTCCTAGAAAAGACCCCAGGATGGCCTGCATAAAACCACAAGGGGGCATATAGGACCCTGGGGACAGTGGGAGGCCAGCGTGAGCCCCCACTGGCGAGAACCCCTCTGCCTGGCACCTGCCTGAGGGGAGCCTGGGCCACAGGGAGCCCGAGTGTGGCCCCCTTGTGTGGACTGTGCGTACACGCATGTGCGAGAAAAGAGGTTCAGCTCTCCTGGCACCGTGGCCTGAGCAGCAGGGGATCCCCTTCTGGTCCCAGGGCATCGAAGGCCTGGGGAGGTCATACTGGGTGTCACTTTTGCTTTGAGAACAGAGTTCCAACAGCTCCACAGACACTCGTGTTTGGAGTTAAGAAAAGGCAGCGTGAACTACTGCCATCGTCCATGGAAAAAACAGTTCTTTGCTCAAGTAAAAAAATATCAAATATAATAAATTTATGAAAGCCCATTCACAACATCTACAGTCCCAGTTTTGTAGTTCTCCTCGGCAGCTGGGGTGGTGTGGCTTTTCAAGGCCCCCGGGTGTGGCCTGACCAGCCCCGCCACTGGTGTGTGTAGGGCCTCCGGTGACAGGCCACCCAGAACGGTCAGCCCGGCCACCTGCTTGTGGCCATCCACGTGGGTGCCACGGGACTCAGCCTCATTGACCTGTGGGGCCAAGGCCCAGCTCTCACGCCCGGAGCCCAAGGAAGGCCCAGCAGATGCCGGCTTGTGGCTGCAGTCACATTTGCTCGGATGCGACAGGCCGCCTCTCGGTGCCTCCTGGCCAGCCGGGCTGAGGCTCACACGATAGACTCGCGGTCCCTGTCTGGGGACGGGGGGAAGTCCGCGAGGTCCTCGCTGCGGCTGTAGTCGGACGCCCGCACCTGGGGGTTATCGCTGGTGGCCCTGGTGACGCTGTCATAGGAGGGGGGGAAGGACGTGGAGGAAATGGAGGAGCTGGAGGGTGGGCCAAGGCGGCGTGAGAAGTTCTCACTCATCATGTAGGCGATGAGGCCCTCTTGCTCAGGGGCCTCCTCCTCGGACAGCCCGCTGCTGGCGGCCTGCTGGCGGAAGAGGAAGGAGGCGTGCTTCATGGAGCGCTGCAGCAGGTGCCGCCGGAAGGCGCGCTGGATGATGGTGGCCGACACCTCCTCGTGCTTGCGCCGCAGCGTGGTGGTGATGGGCTCGTACGAGATCTTGGACGGGTTGGCCGCCATGAACTTCTCCTCCATCTGGATCTTCAGGGCATCCATCTCCCCAGACTCGCCCAGCACCCTCTTGGTGAAGGCAAAGAGGATGTCCATGCAGTGGATCCGGTCCCCGCTCACCATGGGCAGGTCCATGTTGATGAGGCTTATCTGGTTGGGCTTGGCGATGCGCAGCGGCTCGGACAGGGCGTCGGCGAAGTCGGACAGGGCCGAGTACTCGATGAACTGGGTGGCCTCTGGGTCGAACTTCTCCCAGATCTCATAGAACATGTCGAAGTCATCCTCGCTCAGGGGCTCGGTGCTCTCTTCTGTGGCCACGCTGAAGTTCTCGAGGATGATGGCGATGTACATGTTGACCACGATGAGGAAGGAGATGATGATGTACGTGGTGAAGAAGAGGATGCCCACAGCCGGGCTCCCACAGTTCCCCCGGGAGCCATTGCTGTTGGGCAGATTGGGGTCACAGTAAGGGGGCCCCGTGTTGAGGATGGGGCTGAGGAGGCCATCCCAGCCAGCCGACGTGGTGATCTGGAAGAGGCACAGCATGCTGTTGGCGAAGGTCTGGAAGTTGAACATGTCATCGATGCCAGCCTCCCACTTGACATAAGCGAAGTTAGCCATGCCGAAGATGGAGTAGATGAACATGACGAGGAAGAGCAGCAGGCCGATGTTGAAGAGGGCAGGCAGGGACATCATGAGGGCAAAGAGCAGTGTGCGGATCCCCTTGGCACCTCGAATCAGCCTGAGGATGCGGCCGATTCGGGCCAGGCGGATGACTCGGAAGAGCGTTGGGGAGAAGAAGTACTTCTGGATGATGTCTGAGAGCACGGTACCTACGGGAAACAACAGAGGCCGCGCCACCAATGGGTCTCTGTCCTCCCTCTAGCCCTGCCTCACTGTATGCATCTCTGTGTGGCAAGGAGCTAAGGAGAGGAGGCCCTTTCAGGAGGACTGGGTTGACCGGGGCATGCAAGGACCCTGTCTGGGTCTCCGTTTCTCATCTGTGACCCAGAGAATGAGGACCCACAGTATCCACACCTTTTACAAAGTGCTTCCCAGACCTCTCTTCCCTTAGTCTTCTGAGAACACCTGTCCGGTAGAGCTGTACTGGGCCCATCTTCTAGATCCTGGGTTCTGAAACCCGAAAGGATTTGCTCAGCATCTGGGTGGCCTTGCTTGGACCAGAGCTCAGGCTCAGGCTTTTCAGCAACTCATTACTCAAAAGTGGGGTCTGAGGATCAGCAGCCCTGGAATTCTCCTGGGAGCTTCTCAGAAATGTGGATGCTCCGTTCCACCCCCAGTCCCACTGTGTTTTAATAAGCCAGGTAATTCATGTGCTTATGGAAGGGCACATGACCCTTGGAAAGGCACTGGCCCACAAGCCTGTGTTCTCTGCCACACCTGCATCACCTCAGCCTCTCTGAGATTGTCCATGCCACCCTCCCAACCCTGCTAGCTTCCAGAGCTTCCTGCTGCTTGGTCTCTATTGACAACTCCGGGTTTGGAGTTTTGAGAGGCAGGCATACAAGTTATATGAGAAAGAATGACATGAACTTGCTTTGTATTGGCCTGAGTGACCTTTCCAGACTCCTCATGTAATCATGTCACCAGCTGACACGTGTCATGTTCACTGTCAATAAGGCACTGGGCTGAGCATTTTATATCTATCCATTTAGCCCTTCCGGTCACCCGAGGAGGTAAGCTGATACCATCATCCTCATTTTCCAGAAGAGGAAATTGAGAGGTGAGGTAACTTACCCAAGTTGTCACCTAGTCAGTGGAACACTGAGATTCAACTCAGACACTCTGGCTCCAGGTTGACCTGTTAACCATGTCCCTCCAGCACAGAGGCACCAGTACCAGGAGGTGTCCCTGAGGCACATGCCACGTCTCCTCCCAAAGCTCACCCACACTGTCCCTCATCGGCCCCTTGAGGCTGCTGACATCCTGCATTCTCTAAAGCTTCTCTCCAGTCCTGCCTGGCATGCTCACCTTCACCCCTGCCTGGGACCCCCCAGAGTACTTCCTGACCCTCCATCTAGCTTCTAACCATCTGTCACAACAGCTACGATGGCCCCTGACTCAGTCCCTGTGTCTCCCTCTGAGGTCACTGAAGGCACAGGCTGTATGTATATGGCAGAAAGAGGAAAGTCAGCCACCACACAGCAGAGTTCCACAGAGCAAGGGTCAAGCATTTGGGCTCTGAGCACAAGCAACAGAAAAAAAGAAATATTGATAAATTGGGACTTCATCAAAACAAAAAGCTTTGTGCTTCAAGAGACAACAACCAAGAAAGTGACAAGACAACTCACAGCAAGGGAGAAAATGTTTGCGAATTGTGTGCTAAGAGACTGGTGTCCAGAATATAGAAAGAACTCTCACACATCAACAACAAGAACATAAATAAGCCAACTAAAAAATAAGCAAAGGATCTGAGAAGACATTTCTTCAAGACATTTCTCCCATCATAGACCAAGACATACCATAGAAAATGACCAATAAGCACATGAAAAGATGCTCAGTGTCATTAGTCTTTAGGGAAATGTAAACCAAAACCTCAACAAAATGATCACTTCATATCTGCCAGGGTGCCTATGATAAAAAATCACAGACAGTAACAAGTATTGGTGGGGATGTGCAGTCACTGGAACCCTTAAACGTTGATGACGGGAATGTAAAAAGGTGCACCTACAGTGGAAAAACAGTTCGGCAGCCCCTCAAAATTTTAGATTTAATGGTTTTCAGGGCCTGGGGAGAGGGAAATATTCTACAATCAGATGTAGTGGTGATGGTTGCACAACTCTGTTGAATATACTAGCAACCTCTAAATTGCAAACTTTAAAGGGTAAATCTTACAGTATGTGAATTGTATCCCAATAAAATTGTTACTTAAAAAGGGAGTGGTGTCTGAATGACTCCGTTGGTTAAGCATCTGACTCTTGATTTCGGCTCAGGGTATGATCTCTGGCTGGGTGTGGAGTCTGCTCCCTTTCCCTCTGCCCCTCCCACCTCCCTGCTCTTGGGCTTGCTCACTCTATAAGTAAATAACAAAAACAAAAGAGGGTTTGGGTCCTGAGGTCAAACACATGTAAATGTATTCTATGGCTTGAATGTTTGAATTCCAAATTCATATGTTGAAATCCCAATTTCCAAAGATGATGGTGGTAGCAGGTGAGACCTTTGGGAGGTACTTAGGTCATGAGAGTGGAGCCCTCATGAGTGGGATCAGTGCCTTATAAAAGAGGCCCTAGAAAGCTCCCTTGCCACTTCTACTTTGTGAGGACACAGCAAAGAAGGTGCTGGTTATGAACCAGGGAAAAGATCCCCGGCAGAAAACATGACCATGCTGGTGCCTTAATCTTGGCCTTTCAGCATCCAGAAGTATGAGAAATTGATTTCTGGTGTTTATGAACTACCCAGTCTGGTGTTTGGTTATAGCAGCCCAAACAGATGGAATGTGAATCCTATCTCCTCTGTTCCTAGTTTTATGATCTCCTTGCCTCCATGCTGACTTTATTTATTTTTTTAAAAAAAATTTATTTATTTATTCATGAAAGGCACACACACACGCAGAGAGAGAGAGAGAGAGAGGGAGAGAGGCAGAAACATATGCAGAGGGAGAAGTAGGCTCCATGCAGGGAGCCTGACGTGGGACTTGATCCTGGGACTCGGGGATCGCGCCCTGAGCCAAAGCCAGATACTGAACCGCTGAGCCATCCAGGCGTCCCTCAATGCTGAATTTGTAAGGTCAGATGCATGATGTGGGTGATGTCTGAAGGAGTCTGGCACACATGTTGGTGGCTTTTCTCTAGAATTTTCCATCTCCAGGGATAATTTCTACCCAAGAAGGCCACCTGCTCCCATCTCTGGAGACTCACCACACCCTAGAAAGCCACTTCTTCCTTTAGCCTTGGGAGGGCAGGGAAACCTGCTCATCTCTCACTCCCTTTACAGACTCATTCTTGAAGCTCTCACAGAGAACAGAAAACTGTGTTCTAGGGTCCCATGGAAAGTGGGGCCAAGAGTGGGCGTTGGCTCCTCTGTGAGGATGGCCTCCTTGACAAATTCTCTATTGAGGGGGGTGTGTGTGTGTATCTGCATTTGTGACAGGGGAGAGGTGTGGATTGCAGAGAAAGGAACAAAGGAGGCTAGTACACTTGGCATTAAGTCCCCAGACCCCAGTCCAGAGGAGGGGCCAGCTTGTATACCCACCCACGATGGAGAGGATGACAACCACAAAGTCGAAGATGTTCCAGCTGTTGGTGAAGTAATAGTGGCGCAGGGCAGCCATCTTGATGATACACTCGCCTGTGAATATGGCTACAAAGAGCAGGTTGATCTTGGCCAAGATGTTGACCTTCTCGGGACTCTGGTCATCTGTCTCTACCATCATGGTCACCATGTTCAAGCAGATGAGAAACATGATGGTGACATCGAAGGCCTGCTTAGTCACAATGTCGAATAGGAAACCCTGGTACTTGTTCTGAAAGGAGAGGCAAAGGATGGGCTCAGCAGGGACCTGAAACAGGCCAGCAGGTCCCCCTGTGGCTGTCTCTCGACCCAGACCATCCACCCTCCTATTCTACCCGGGGTGAGAGAATCAGGAGGCTGAAACAGGCTGGCACTCCTGCTTCTGGGCCTGGCCCTCAGGCTCCCTCTTCCCTAAAGTCTTCTCTGAACCTTCAGGAAGGGATTTCTCCCACCCTGAGCTTCCCTAGCACATCACTGTTCACTGGGCTTCTCTTCTTGTTCCCACTGTCTGATGGCTCAAGCTTAAATTTAAAGTTCAGTCCTAGTAATTGGATCAGCCCTTAGGTTAACAGATGTCCTCCACCCTTTATGGAATTGATTTGGTTTATTCTATCAATTATATTTGTGTCTTTAGTTGTTTGCCACCTCAGATTATTTGAGGAAAGAGAGAGGATTATAAATAATTATAAACACACACACACACACACACACACACACACACACACCCCTAATCTAGAACAAAGCATGGTGAAAGGGTAGGAACTAGATAATATTGATGAACTGGGTTAAAAACCTGGGACTGTGAAAGTAACCAAATCACTTTAGCTAGTGATTTGGGTTATGCCATGTAATTACTTTGAGTACTGCCTGCCTGCCCCCTGCTGCTGGGCCCTTTATTGGAGAATGTCTGGGTCAGGCAAGGGAGTCGGCCTCAAGGGGGACTGAGTGTCTTCCTGGGGCCACCTGCCAGGGGACTCCAGGCTGTGTCTGTCCCACCCAGAGGTGGCTAGGAAGAGGCTGCAAATGGGGGTGGGCCTGCAGAGGCCACCCTGCTCACTCTGGCAGGGGAGGAGGGTGCAGAGGAGAGGGACCCTTGTGGGAAGGAGTGCCCCTGGCTGGAATGGCCCACCCATGCCTTCCTCACTTTTTCCAGGAGTTTGAGGCCCGTGCATGTGGTCAGGTGCCTGACAGCGCCCCTCCTTCCCTGCACTGACCAAGGGCCCTGGGCTAGCCTGAAAGGCTGTTTAGAGGTCCTGATGGCTGGTCCTGGGGGGTGGGGGCTACCCAGCACCCCAAGCACACCCTCCCCAGTCTTGCTGGATTGGGAGCTGGCTCACCAGAGGCCGAGGGATGGGCTTCTGGGGCTTCTTGGAGCCCAGCTTTTTCATGGCGTTGTAATACTTCTTCTGCTCTTCTGTCATGAAGATGTCCTGGCCCCCTAAGTGCAGAGAGACAGGTACCAGCCTCATTTTGGGGTCCTTAGGGGTTCTAGCATGGGGGGGCATAGGGATCTTGCCTCCTTGATGAGGTGCCTCGGTTGGCCTTCTCACTTTCTCTCCCTATCGTGCACCAGAGAGTCCTCTGCAAATCTGCTTTCACAGGGTCCCTGTCTCCCTTCACTTTGAGGCCTCTCTCACTTTGTCAGGTGCAAATCCAGTCCCCATCTACCACCTGCTCCCCTGCCCAGCCCGGCCACCCTGGAGGTGCTCTCTGCCTAGTTGGTTTGCCTGCCACGCAATCATGGCCCAACCGTTGGAGCTCTGGAGAGACCCTGGGCTGCTGTCTCCATCGTGGACCAGGTGACTTAGTCCCAACCATCAGCCCAGCTCCACTCAGGAGTCTCAGCTGTCAGGCAGCCACAGGCCCCCACTTCCACTCTTACAGACTGGGCATGTCACCTCATGAACATGCCCCTCTCCTGCCCACTCCAGTATCTGTGGGGAGTGGGGGGGAAGCCCATCCCCTGCAGGAGGGCACAATGGGGCCAGGGGCCAGAATGGCTCCTCAGCCCCCTGGTACCCCACCCCACCCTGCTGACCCAGGGGGAGCAGGCGCTCTACGTATCTTTTTCTTCTGTTGGTTGAAGTTGTCAATGATGACACCGATGAAAAGGTTCAGGGTGAAGAAAGACCCGAAGATGATGAAAATGACGAAGTAGATGTACATGTAGAGGTTATATTCCCACTGGGGCTGCTCTTCAAACTGAGCGGGAGAAATCAGACATGGGGGTCAGGCAGGCAGGAAGGGGAAGGGGCTGGCTGGGCGAGAGGGTGTGTCCAGAGGGAGGTCACCAGTCGGGGCTGCGTGTCTGTGTGTGCGTGCATGTGCAGAGCGGGGCTGGCCAGGGTGGGGGTGGGGTTCAGGAGAGTGATGGCTCAGGGCTGATGTGGCACTGCCTGGCTTCTGCCCAACAGAAAGTGTGAGTGTAGCAGGTCCGTGTCCTTGTCGTTCCCCCTGCCCCTTCGCCTTCACTGAATGGTCACTGTGATTGGACAGGGCACAAGGATGAAAAAGAAACTTGATCTGCATCTCTTTTGCTTCTATTCTGTCTCTTCTGGGGTAAGACTGAGATTTAAGTAAATGGCAGTGAATTTAATTTGAAAGATATTTGAGAATTTGGGGCTCCTGGGGAGACCATGCAACTTTGCCCCAGGTCCAGGCCTGGGCATTCCAGAGAGGCTCAACTGCAGGTTGGCACACGAGATCTGGCCCTTATGGGGTGGGCTTCTGAGGGTGCACACTGATTCCCTAGTGCCAAGTGTCCTAAACCTCATGTGCCTGATGTGGTGGGAGAGGCCAGTATGGTTACCTACCCCCCTGGAGTCCACAGCTGCATACATAATGTCCATCCAGCCTTTAAATGTTGCCTGGAAGGAAAAGATAAGAGTAAGAATCATTTGACTTGCACTTATTGAGTTATCTGGGGTCCTATTCAGACAAGTGAGGCCAGGAAATAGCTTCCTCTGAGAAGCAAGCATCCCGCCCCGCCCCTTCGGCCGTGTTCACATGACTGGGCAGTTCGGGAAGGGCCTTCCGGTTCAGGACTGGGGGTGGAGGGGAAGCCCCCGCCCAAGGGGGTCATGGGGGGGGGTAAGAAGCTTCTCGATGTTAGCCAGGACACTGAGGAGGACCGAAGGAGGTCTGCCTTTCAGATCCACCTTCATTCCAGATTCTGAAACGATGCAGTCCTACAGTGGGTGTCAGGGTCAGAGAGGGGGACCCAATGCTAACCTGGACCCTTGTCAAGCAGCTTGGAGAACCCTGTGGCTTCTGTTCCACGACTTTTCAGGATGGCCCTGGAGCATCCCAACCTCCCCTCGTACTTAAGGGGTCCTTTAGTCAGTGGTGTGTCAGTAAGGGGCTAACAAATGGTTTTCCAGAAGAAAACAAGGCTCTGATTGTCATGTTTGCCAATTTCTCTGGGTAAACACTCCCACCACGGCCAATTTCAAGTCACTGACTGGCCGTTACTGAACACAGACTTGGGAAGAGATGCAGAGGAGCATAGCATTATAGTATTTCCACGGTATGAATACAGCACATGTAAGTAACCTTAAAAGCATAGATGATAATATGTGCTAATGGTGAATTTTTATTTTTTAAAAAACTTATTTTTAAAGTAATCTCTATACCCAACATAGGGCTTGAGCCCACAATCCCAAAATCAACAGTAGCATGCTCCACTGACTGAGCCAGCCAGGTACCCCCTGATTTTGTTTCAATATCACTTAGTGAATTATAAGTTTATAAAATCTGATCTTTAATCATGGCTTGCGAAATATCTGAAAATGCAACAATCTGCTCTTGTGAGCCTACACAAGCCTGCTCCAGTTGGCCACCCCAAGGCGGTAAAGGAACAGGCTGAATGACCCAGGGCTCTGGTGCTGGCTACACTGTCTGGGCTGCTACGAAGATTCAGGAAGAGCCCGAGAGACATGCTTGGGTGATGAGGCTGACTTCCAGTGAGTCTCACTTGTGTCCTCGGCAACATCCGATCTTCCCCCAAGCCTCCTTTCAGGGTACAACTGTCCACACAACTTTCATGTCTGAGAGTTCTTATGGCACTGGGAGGCAGATGGGGGAACTGAGGCTGCTCCAGAGAAGGCGAACTTCAGCTCCCTGTGTCAGGAAGCCCTGCCCTATGAAGAGAGGGCCGGAAATGCTCTGGAAACGGCTGGAGAGCACCGATGGTGCTAAGATGCTTGTGACTGCCTTTCTGGCCACTGTGTTGTTCTATCTGCAATGACTGTCAGCTCCCAGTCTACAAAAGGGCCTTTCCTTCCAGGTACTGACATCTAATTTTTATTTATTTATTTATTTATTTATTTATTTATTTATTTATTTATGAGAGAGAGAGAGAGAGAGAGGGAGAGAGAGAGACTGTGCTCACGTGGGTGCATGTGGGGGTGGGGTGGGAGGGGCAGGGAGAGAGGGTGGAGGATCTCAAGAAGACTCCCTGTAGAGCCTGATGTGGGGCTCACACAGGGCTCAATCTCATGACCCTGAGATCATGACCTGAGTCGAAATCGAGAGTTGGACGCTTCACTGACTCAGCCGCCCAAGTGCCCCTCAAGTTCTGGCATCTAGAGGGAGGCCCCAGGGACAGAGGGTCTCTGGGTTTGGCTCTAATCTTCTCTAGGAGGCATTTCAGGGGAGTCTTAGAAGAAAGCCACCTCTGGGATTTAAGGGAGGGCTGGAGGTGCGAGTAGATGTGCATTAAGTTTTCAGATGGGAGCCCACTGAGTGCTCCTCTACTTTGGGGACTAGAGACAGGTACTTGGGCTTAACACTGGGATAGTAAGTGAAGTAAGCTGTGCTTCTATGTGTTACAGTCTGTCCGCATGTCTGCTGTCAAGGCTACTTGCAGGCTAATTGTATGCCATGTATCATGCTCACTGAAGCCACCATCCTCACAAATCAATGGAAACTTTGGAAGGATGGGGTAGCGTCATGTGCATTTCAACACCACACATCTTACACACCAGAAACTGCACAGAGGCATTGTTACCTTTTCTAACAGAAGGCTGGACTCACTGTGTGGCTAACAGTTTCATCTCTGTGTGTCTATGGTCCTTGCCTTTTAACCTGTGCCATCACACTGCCAAACTGATAGCATGAGGTTGTCAACCTGACTACTGGCTGTGAGGTTAGTTCTGCCTCAGTGCTGAACCCCCATGCCATGCACCTTGGAGAATGCGGCATCTGTTCTAGAGTGGAAAATCTGGGGACTTCCCAAGGAGCCAAGAAGTCTCTGGAAAATCCTTAGCCTCCTTTGGGCAGCGTGACCCTACGGTTAGGACCCAGAGCAGTCCCATGGTCCTCCACTTGCCCATGCCATGGGTGCAGGTGCGTGATGCTGGACAGCCTGTGGGAGGGAGGAAGTCCCTCCTCTCCAGGACTTACCACCTGCAGAAGAGCTAGGTACCCGGCGCCCACGTTGTCAAAGTTGACTTTCACCTTGGTCCAGTACAGTTCGCCAGTCACGTTGAAAGACTCACAGTCACTCTTATTGTTCACAACGGTGTAGTTCAAAGGCAGGTCTCCCTCAGTCTGGTTGATGCATCGCCCAAACTTCCCCGCAAACAGGTTCACACCCATGATGCTGAAGATGAGCCAGAAGATGAGGCAGACGAGGAGGACATTCATGATGGATGGGATGGCGCCCACCAGGGCATTGACCACAACCTCAAGTGGACAGAGAAGAAGCTCAGTTCCTGGGGATGCCCAGAGCATGGGCCCTTGTCAAGACCCGCCTACCCATGCCCCTTTCCCCACTGAACTTTTTTCCTACGTGCCCCTATGGGAATGGGGGGTAGAAGAGTTCCTGTCCCCAAGGAAGGGCTAGCCCTGGCTGGAAGCCCTGATGGGGAATAAAGGGAGAGATGATGGGGAGCCTGGGGGAGAGAACATACACTTTTTGTTTGTTTTTGCACACTAATGTCTGACCAAGTCCAGAACTTCTGCTTTTCCCTTCTGGTCCTATCCTGAGTTCACGACCTTCAAACTTAATTTTCAACAGGGTCTCTCTAGTTAAGTATCTGCCAGCAGTCCGATGGGAAAGGGCCTCTGGAGACGCATTCTCTGAGCTAAGTTTCTGGTTTATTTTGGGGTTGCTGCTACTAGGAAGGATGGGTGTTCTCCCTGAAGTCCGCCCAGGGGACCTCCCCGTGGCGTGTCTGGCAGGTGCTCTGGCAGCCCTCCAGCGCTGCGGAGAGAGCCGGGCCGGGAGGGCAGGGGGTGTGGCGTGGAGCTCCCCATGCTCTGCCCTTCCCGGAGCGGCTCTCTGACCCCGTGGAGCCCTGGCATTGTTCTCTTCACGGAGACTCACGGCACCCAGGAGAGGCTTCCTTGGCAAAAGTGTATGGTGTGCTCTACTCCACGGAGGGACCTGGGGCCAAGCCCCCCGGGAGTCACAAAGGTGTTTGCTGCCCAGATTGCAGTGAGGCTGGTGTGGGGCCATGTGGTGATCACGGTGCTGGGAAGGGTAATGCTGGCATGTACAGGTGAGAGGGTGTCCCTGGTCTCCAGCAGGCATGGTGAACAGGGCGGGAAACCCAACTCCCAGGTCTGCCCTCGGCTGGCTCCATGGCCGACAGCCACAACAGAGGCATTCCTGGCAACTCACATCTCCCCCACGTCCCTGTGGAATCAAATGTCCTTGCTCCTGAGCGATGTTTGACTTAGGTAGGATGATTCACTTGTGAACGCCTTCCCACCAGGATTAAGTGACTTGTTTCTCTTTTGGGGGTGTGGGCAAAGTTTAAAACCATCGACAAAGTGGGGGCCGTGTGACAGTGCCTGCCGGGTCAGCGAGAGTTACACAGATGTGGCTGCTGAAGCCACAGCAGCACTATGCGTGTTTCGTAAAAAAGCACAAAACACAAAACACATGTGCACACAAATGTATCTATGTGTTGGTTTTTTTGCTATTCGTTACGGGTAAGATTTTTCTTGGTGGGGTTTTAAAGTTGCCTCATATGCACATATTCCTTGGTAAAATTCGATGACTTGAAAAATGCACAGGGCTCTGCAGTTAGAAATCAGTGCAAAAGCGTTTGCTAAGCAAATGCCAACAGCTACGTGATGGTGAGTATACAGCTGCTCCCCCTTAGCTTCCTTCACCTTCCCTGGCACAGCCCTACTGCCCATCGCAGACCGAGGAAATGGCCTGTGGCTGCCAGGAGGCAGGGCACGCAGGACGCAGAGCACACACACAGATGGCCTCCCACCCCGCGGCACAAGCAGAGGGGCTCCCCGGCCCCCGAGGCCGACAGGCCTAGAGGGAGGGCTCTCACAGCTCTTCACCTCCTGCTGCCCTGGGCCGGCGAGCCCAGATGAACCTCTCCTGGAGATTTTGCACCAAGCTCCTGCCAGGCTGGGGGCCACAGTCCCAGGTCGAGGCTGGGCCGCTCGGTCAGCAAGTGAACCCGGGGGTCATCCCAAGGGAGTCACCGCCCACTGCCCTGGCAGGCAGGCAGGCAGTCACTCCCCTTACCCTCATGCCTTCAAATCGTGACAGGGCTCGCAGGGGTCGGAGCGCACGCAGTGTCCGCAGGGATTTGATGGGGCCCATCTCGGCAAAGCCCAGGGTGTTGGCTACGAGGCTGATCAGTGAGACCTGTGGGAGGCAAGGCGGGAGTGAGCGCCGTGGGGACAGCTCTAGAGACAGGTGGCAGGGCTCCTGGCCTGCCTAAAGCTGGGCTGGTGTGAGAGAGCCAGCAGGCTTCCCCGCACTGTCCTGTCTTTGTTATTTCCGGCTACATCCTCTGCATGGCCACCATGCACTGGGCTGGCCTTCCTGGGGCCCAAGAGGCTGGGGGTGGGCAGGGAGACAAGTGTGTCCTAGCTTTCGGATCTTTGCTGAGAGCCTGCCGTGTGCAGTCACTAACCCAAGGACCTGGGATGCATCATCCCTACTCTGCGGATAGAAAGCCGAGTTCCTAAGCCAGCCACTGGTGTGGAGGAGCAGGCACATAAAGCCTGGGCTTTTGTCCCGACAGGACTTCCTGCCAGCCAAATTCTTGGACCTGCCCCTTCACTCCCCAGTCTTTTTTGGGGAAGGGCTATCCTGGGTTGCCATGAGCAGGGAGACGATCCTGGGGCTCTTCCCCAAAGCCAGACTTCGCTCATCGGACGCCTTCAGAGAGGGGAACCGCAAGCAAATTCTGTGGCCCAGCGGCCAGGTCTGGCCAGTCTGCCCACTTAGGTCCCAGCAGTTCACCCCTGTGCTCTGTGCTGTCACGGCTCATGCACCTGCCCCACTCAGAGCCCTTCCATCTCAGTTGGTGGCAGCTCCATCCTTCCAGCTGCTCAAGCCACAACCCTTGGCGTCATCCCTGCCTCCTCTCCATCTCTCATACCCTACATCCAACCCTCATACCCTACATCCAACCCAGCAGGATTTCCTGTTGGCTCGGCCTTCAAAATACATCAGAAGTCCAAATATTTCTCACCACTTCCACTGTCACCATCCTGGCCAGGCCACTGTGTATTCTACCCTGGACTGTGGCCACAGCCTCCTGACTCTTCGGCCTGCCTCCATGTGTGCCCCACCCCCCCAACCCCTGTGCTCCTCCAGTAGCAGGAGTCACTTCATGTCACTCTTCTGCTCGGGGTGTCACAATGCCTTCCCACTTCATTCTAAATAAAAGCCTGTGGTTTTCAAAGGCTGTGCCCCCTCTGCCCTTTGAAGCCTGGCCTCATCTCCTGCACCTACCTTCCCCAATCACTGTTCCAGCCACTCTGTTTTCCTTGCAGTTCCTCAAGTATGCCAGGCATGTTCCCACCACAGGACCTTTGCACTGCTCTTCCAACCTCTGTGTGGAAGGTTCTGCGGATGTATGCCTGGCTGACCCCAACTTCCTTCATATTTGCTGCAATATCATCTCAGTGGATCCCTCCTGGCCAGCCTAGTTAAAGCTGTAATCTATACCTTCCCCTTGCCGGAGTCCTGGCCCTCCTAATTCCCTTTCGTTCTCTGCTTCCTATCCTCCCTGGCACACCTCGCCTTCTAACAGCCTACAATGCTGGCTTATTGAGTACGTTTATTGTTTGCAGTTGCCTTCCTCCATGAGGGCAGGAGTTTTAGTCTCTTTTGTTCTCTGAGATCCCCAGCATCTACAATAGTATAGTATGTATTGGAAAAATAAATGAAGGAACTCATCCTGGAAATACCCTTCTCCAGACCTTCAGGCCCAAAGACCACCCTTACCATGAAGTGAAGGGGGACAGCACGGCCAGCATCAGGAAAGCTGGATTCCAGCATCCACTTCCTTCTCCCTGACCTTAGGCACAACCCCTGCCTGCTGGGAGCCCGGTTTCCTTCTCCATGGGCTAGCTTTCCAGTTCTGGGACGGAACAGGAAGCGGAACAGGAAGCACTGCCCGGCCTCAGCCCTGAGTTCCTCAAGGTGGCAGGTTGGTGGCCCAGGAGTGTTTGCAAATCTCTCTGCCTTCCCTGAGGGGAGTCACTCAGCAAGCTCAACTTCCCAAGAAGCTGCAGGAATCGCTGGGTGAGGGACCTCAGGGCCCTCCCACAGCCACGGGGCAGGAGGTCTCCCGGGTCCTCTCCTTCCTCTCAGGAAGGCTCTGAGGACTCCAGGCTGTAAAGCAGGTAGACCTCCCTCCCTCCCTCCCTCCCTCTCTGCCACCCTAGTACCCCTCACCCCAACATCAGCATTCTCTCCGTCACTGGGGGTGACAGAAAGAGGCCTGGACCAGAGGCCCAAGGACCCGGATCTGTGTCTCCATGCATGCCCCAGACCAAGGAGCCTCTCCTGCCATGGCCAGTGGTGGACTGGCCTCCCACTCAGGCTGAGCCCCTCTCTCTGGCCTCTGAGTGGGGTATGGGGACCAAACAGAGGCCTGAACAGAGGCCCGAGCCTCTTGCACAACCACAGGAAGGACAACCCCTGCTGGTTGGTGGAGCCTGAGGCCAAGCCCAGAAGCCATGGGGTCCCTCTGAAAGCTCTTCCCAGTTTGCAGATGCTGACTCACATTCTGTTCTGCAGAACCCACCACAACCAGATGGTGAGCCCCCACCTGAGTCCTTCGTCTTTGCCTGTTCCCCCTGCCCTCAGTGAGTGCAGATCCAAGGCTGCTCTGCACTCTGGTCTCATTTTCCTCTCTGGTTCTTCTCCCACTCAACTGCACTCACCCTGCTTGGCACCCAGCAGGGTCCTGGGGCCCCGGGGGCTGTGGGGCAGAGGGCTTCCCCTCTATCTGCCAACTGGGTACTCAGAGAACATGCCACGTCCTGCCCTAGGTCTTCCTTGGACAGGCAGGGAAGCTGTGCCAGCTGCCCCAGCGTCCACAGCAGCAACCAGTGTTCATGGCTTGCTGCCTTCTCACAGGTGCCTACCCCTCTCTCATCCTCCCCAGGGGTACCTTCTACCTGAGCCTGGAGGGTCCCCCCATTGCCTTCCCAGAATCCCTCACCAGCCCTGTCCCCTCTGGCCTTGGGCTCATGTCTCCCCGGTGTAGACAGCCTCCACCATGTGTGGACATGGAGGCTCTTAACTGGCCTCCTACCTAGTGGACCTGACAGATACTTCACAACACGTGTGCCGAGTGCTGTGATACAGGCTCGCCTGCTCCCTGACTTCTGGCCATCCTGAGGGGACGGTGGGGGTGGCCCCCTCCTGCCCTGGCTCACACTCCTGCCTGGACTGTTCCTCACTCTCCTCTGTAGTGGATCGAGTCTCCGCAGAAGCTTAGGTCTCCCTTGCTCCTCTGTCTCTCAAAATTGGGGTTCTGATGGCCAGACGCAGGTTCCTTTCCTTCCTTCCTTTCTTCCTTCCTTCCTTCCTTCCTTCCTTCCTTCCTTCCTTCCTTCCTTCCTTTCTTTTTCTTTTCTTTCTTTCTTTCTTTCTTTCTTTCTTTCTTTCTTTCTTTCTTCCTTTCTTTCTTTTTCTTTCTTTCTTTCTTTCTTTCTTTCTTTCTTTCTTTCTTTCTTTCTTTCTTTCTTTCTTTCTTTCTTTCTTTCTTTTTAGATTTTATTAATGAGAGACAGAGAGAGGCAGAGACCTAGGCAGAGACCTAGGCAGAGAGAGAAGCAGGGGAACCTGATGCACGACTTGATCCCAGGACCCCAGGTTCACGACCTGAGCCAAAGGCAGATGCTCAACCACTGAGCCACTAAGGTATCCTCAGACCCAGGTTCTTATCCCTCCCAGACTGGGAACCTTATGGGTGGCCTGGGCTCTCCTGTGACCCGAGACTGTGGCCTCCTTCCATCTGCTCTGTGGCTTCGCTGAGTGCCTTCACGTCAGCCTGCTGGCTCCCACCTGCCTTGTCATTCTGTCCTTCTGGCCCTCTGCCTCAGCTCCTCCCCACACGGGCAACCGATCTCCCCTGGCCTCTTCCCTCTGGGCCCACTCACATCCACGATGAGGAAGTCCAGCCAGCACCAGGCATTGGTGAAGTACTTCTTAAAGCCGTAGGCCACCCACTTGAGCAGCATCTCCAGCACGAAGATGTAGGTGAACATCTTGTCGGCATACTCGAGCAGAACCTTGATGGTCTTCCGCTCCTCTAGGTAGATGTCCTCGAAGGCCTACAGATCAGGCCGGACAAGGGGGATAGGATGTCCCGACCACTGACAACTGCACCCCTCGAGAAACTTCATTTCTAACAGCAGCCGCTGCCCAGGAGGGCAGGAGCAGGGGAGGCATGTGGCGGAGGGGCGCCTTGGAAATCACAGAGGACTAGAGCAGCATGCTCCCCTAGGAGCCTTGTGTTCCACGGGTGGCTCAAGAAAGGATCGCGGTATGTGGACAACACACAATGTGTAGTGAGAACACTTCTTCCTTCACGAGGAAGAGTGAGGCTGTTCTGAGCTAAAACTTGCTGATCTGTGTTAACAAGGAGATGTCCTGTGTAACAAGGAGCTGTGTTAACAGCTCGGGGCCTTCTGCTGAAAACCCCATAGAACCCCTCCTTTGGCTGTTTTCATTCCACTGTGCTCTTTACTCTCTTTATGCAGTTCCCTACTTCTCATAGGAAACAAAACTGGTGTCCACCAAGAACAGTCATTAAAGGTCTCCTTTTTACAGTAAGTTTATGTAAACACACACAAACCAGTGAGAGTTGATCTAAAGCAAAATTTTGAATAAATGCTGGTGATAGCAGTTTGTCAATAAGAAGTTTGTCAAAGGCACGACTAGATCTCCTGGGGATCCCAAAGCTCCTGCAACCCTCAGAATTCAGTTGTCCGAGTTCTTAAAATGCTAGAAGGTGCCTTTCTCCACCTCCTCGTATCTGCCTCAACCTGAATTCCTGAGCCAATGGAGGAACTCTGCAGGCTCCCCGGTGCCCTCTTGTAGCTCCTGTCCTGATCTGTACCCGTGTCTCTCAAGCCACCTCTCCCCGCCCACCGTGTGCTCGGAGGCTCCCCATCTAGGCAACTGAACACGTCACTGGGGGCCCCAGGGAGTCGCCTCTGCCTGTCACTATGGGCCTCCCTGGCAGCCCATAGGGCCCATGTGAGCCATGGGGACCCCGGTGGCCAGTACTGTCAGCCTCGGTGTGCACTGCCTAGGCATACATATGGCTAATCCAGTCAGTGTAGACAGCATGGCAGGATGATTCAGGTCCTAAAACGGACTCTTGGAGTTGTTCAAGACAAAAAGTAGGTGTTTTTTTTTTCTGATTATAAAAATGTGTGCTTCCTACAAAAAATTAAATAATAAAGAAATGATAAAAAAGAACAGAACACACCTCCGATTTCATGACATTATAGTAACCACTGCCAACATTTAAGTGGAGATTCTTTTTGACACTGTTTCTGTGTGAGTATGAGTACATAATTCTCTAAGGTATACTAAATAATTTGCTTTTAAATTTCTTTTCCACTAAACAATCTTTTGTGAGTGTTTATCTACTCTACAATGTGAATGCACACAGTAATGTTCTTTTAAAAGGCTGCACAATATTTTATTATTTGCATATACTCTTGTGTATTTAGCCAAAGCACCTATTAATGAACATTTCAGTTGTTTTCAATTTATCACTGGTAGAAACAACACTGCAGTGAACAATGTGTCTGATTATCTGTTCAGGATAAATTTCTAGAATTGGGGTGCCAGGTCAAAGGTGCACTTTGGGTACAGATTGGGTACAGGATCTCCAGCAGGGGACATCCACAGACACTTCCTCCATAGTGCATGAAGTTGGCTCTTTCCTCACCACTCCCCCGATGGTGGTGGGGGTCTCTCCTCCATCACTTTTCCTAGACTAAGAATGAAAGTTGTATTGTGTGACATTTTAACTTATTTTATTACTAGTAATGCTGACATCATTTCCTTGGATATTTGCAATGTTCCTTTTGCAAATTGTTCATATTCTTTGTCTAATTTTTTTTTTTAGTTGAGTGCCTGATTTATTCAGCGACATGAACTCTTTGTTTTACATACTCCACCCTAGTTGTGTGCCTTGTAAATCTTGTTTACTGTTCTCATGGACAGATGAGTGGATAAAGAAGATGTGGTATGTATATACAATGGAATACTACTCAGCCATCAAAAAGAATGAAACCTTGCCATTTGCAATGACGTGGATAGAGCTCGAGGGTATTATGCTAAGTGAGATCAGTCAGTCAAATGAAGGCAAATACTATATGATTTTACTCACTTGTGGAATTTAAGAAACAAAACAGATAAACACGTAGAGAAAAAAAAAGAGAGGCAAACCAGAAAAGATTCTTAACTATAAAGAACTGAAGGTTGCTGAAGGGAGGTGGGTGTGGGGATGGGCCAAATAGGTGATGGATATTAATGAGGGCACTTGTGTTGACCACTGGGTGTTCTATGTAAGTGATGAATCACTAAATTCTACTCCTGAAACTAATATTACACTGTATGTTAAATAACTGGAATTTAAATAAAAGCTTGGAAAAGAAAAAAAATTAAATAAATTCAACCTATAAAAATAATCTTTAATTTTGTTTACCATACTTTAGTTCCACACTTTATTTTCATTTATTATTATCATTTAATGTAATTATATCATTTATTATCATTTTCATTTAGTAGAACCTTCAGTGTCACATTAAGAAAGCCCCTACCTATTCTAAGGCTGGTGGAAAATATGACACTTCTTCTCTTCTTTTACTTTCTTTTGAACTTTCTGGCTTCATTATTTTACATTACAATTTTAAAAATCCAATGTATGTTGGTAAAGAGCAAATATCTATTTTAATATGTTTTTCAGAGTGCTTGTCACTGTTACTTTATTAAAGAATCCACTTCAAATCCATAGATTAGAAGTCAATTTTATCATATAAACTACATTTCTATACTTGTTTAAATTTACTGAACCTCTCTGTGTGCTTTTACTTCTTGCTGTCTATTCCTGAATTAGTATCATATGAATTTTCCTGGCCATTTTTAGTAATTTTCAAAATAAAATTTAGTAATTTTTGTCAAATTCCTTTTAAAAATGTTGCAAATTTATTGTTATTATGTTGAATTTATTAACTGCATTAGGATCTAACCTGGAGTCTTCCTACCCAAGACCAGAGTATACTTATAGCATATTTTTTGATTGGTCTTCTTTTATCCTGCCTAGCAAAGTTTTAGAGTTTTCTTCATGTACCTTTTATCATCTCATGTCATATTTATTTCCAGTTATTTTATGCTTACAATGTCTGGCAAATAAGGACAATTCCAGAAACGTTACTTATGACTAAATGGTTTCTGTTGGTATAAAACAACCACAGCAACAATTCTTTCGGTATTTATTTTATAACTGGCTACATAATATTTTTAATAGGTTTAAAAATTTTTGTAGGGATCCCTGGGTGGCGCAGCGGTTTAGCGTCTGCCTTTGGCCCAGGGCGTGATCCTTGAGACCCGGGATCGAATCCCACGTCGGGCTCCCGGTGCATGGAGCCTGCTTCTCCCTCTGCCTGTGTCTCTGCCTCTCACTCCTCTCTCTGTGTGACTATCATAAATAAATAAAAATAAAAAATTAAAAAAATTAAAAAAAATTTTTGTAGCAATTATTATCTACCATTAATGCTATAGTTCTATTTATTTCTATTATTTTAACTGATTTTATACTTCACTCTATTAACTTCAATTCTTCTATTTTCCAGTTTTTATTTTGTATCTTCACTTTTCTTGATTAATTGCACTGGCCAGTACTTCAAGATTATTATTCAATAATGGAACAACAGCTAAAAAGTAGTGAAATTATTCTTTTCTTACTCCTGACTTTTATATAAATGTTTCAAGTGCTTTACTACTAATTATGATAATAGAAATTAATTTGAGAATATATTTTTCGCCAAATTAAGGAAATATATTTTATTTCTATTCTTACTAGAGTTTTATAAATCAGGCATTCATTGAGATAACTATATCTCAATGATTTGAGATATATATATTTGGTTTTTCATCTCTGTTCTAGTCATATAAATAGATTTCCTAGTATGGCACCATTCTACCATTTTAGAACACACCTGGTTATGACTTATTCAATTTTTAAAATATATTGCTTGTTCATATTTGCACGTATTTCAGGATTTTCGTGACACTATTAATACGAATGGAGTATTAAATGTTTTATTTATTTATTCATGAGAGTCACACAGAGAGAGGCAGAACATAGGCAGAGGGAGAAGCAAGCTCCCCGCAGGGAGCCTGATGAGGGACTTGATCTCAGGATCCTGGGATCATGCCCAGAGCCAAAGGCAGACACTCAACCACTGAGCCACCCAGGCATCCCAAGAATGGAGTATTAAAACTGATCTATGGTTTTCCTGTTGATATACTTGAGGTTTTAAAAATCAGCATTATTTAGCTTGCATAAAAAGGATGTGTAGACTTTCCATCTTTCTTCATACGTTAGAACATTTAAACAGGATTGCAATTATTTTCTTGTTTGAGAATGCAAAAGAACCCACCCTTGGAGATGTGAGAGATTAGCTAATCTAATTTGCTACTGATTTATCTATTTTACTGTTAATTTTTCAAGGAATCAGCTTTGGTATTTCATATCAGTTTTATTATTTATTTTCTAATTGATCTGTTTTTAAAATTTTATTTTTTCCTTGTCTTTAAGATTATTTTGTTTATATTTATAATTTCTTGAGTTAACAAATTAATTTACATTCTTTTTAGTTAATAATAAAAGTGTTTAAGTCTATGATTTTTTTTTTTTTTATGTAGGCTCCATATCCAGTGTGGGTCCCAATGCAGGGCTTGAATTCATGACCCTGAAATCAAGAGTTGGGCAGAGATCAAGAGTGAAAAGCTTAACTGACCAAGCCACCCAGGCACCCCTATGTATTTTCCTTTTATTTCAGCTGTGGCTGCATCCTATAAGCAGTACTCTCGATATTATTATTTTCTAGTTTTTTTTTAATCCCTCCAGCCAGTTTTTTTTTCTCTACCTTTAATTTTCTTATTTTTCTAGATCTCAGGTGGATAGAATTGGTTGAATCATAATCTTTGACTTACAACACACGATCATCTTTGGTCCATGAGTAGCCTTTGGATTTTATTTATTTGCTTACTTTTTAATATAATGAACACCCATGAACCTACCACCAAACTATTTTGTTTGATCCAAAGTTTAAGAATTACTTTTACACTTCTAAGGATTGTTTTTTAATCTTTCTATTTTTGTTATATCTAACAGTTTCCTTATCTATAAAATACACTTAATAATAGTACTTAATTAAGTACTCAGTACAACTCAACACAATAGTTATTGTGAGACTCAAATGAATTAATCTTTGTAAAATGGTTACAACAGGGTCTGGCACATGCTGGGTGCTATTTTAAATGTTACTGCTTTCATTATTATTAGGCTAGATCAAATTTGTTAACTATATACATACTTTTAGATCTCTCATTGTCTTCTTTTTTTAAAAGATTTTATTTATTTATTTATTTGACAGAGAGAGAGAGAGCACAAGCAGGGGGAGTGGCAGCCAGAGGGAGAGGGGGAAGCAGACTCCCCCTCAGAGCAGGGAGCTAGATGTGGGACTTGATCCTAGGGCCCTGGGATCATGACTGGAGCAGAAGGCAGACCCTTAACCGACTGAGCCACTCAGCTGCCCTTTCGTTGTCTTTATCTATGTGCTTTGTCAAGAACTAATAGAAGTGTGGTAAAATCTCCCTGTACTATTGCACTGTTGCCACTTTTTTTCTTGTTTTCTTTTGTTTTTTGTTTGATATAAGTGCTATGCAATCCCAAGCAAAAATATAATAGTTTTATTTTTATTATGGCTTAGACCCACCTTATTTTATCTTGAGCTTCTTATGCTGAATTCAACCTTTTTTAATGTTAACAAACAAAAACACTTTGATTTTGGGGATCCCTGGGTGGCTCAGTGGTTTAGTGCCTGCCTTCAGCCCAGGTCATTATCCTGGAGTCCCAGGATCGAGTCCCACATCAGGCTCCCTGCATGGAGCCTACTTCTCCCTTTGCCTGTGTCTCTGCCTCTCTCTCTGTCTCTCATGAATAAATAAATAAAATCTTAAAAAAAAGAACACTGATTTTTGTTGTCATTGTTTGCACTTGCCTGATATATCTTATCATTTTACTTTTAATATTTCTGAGGGACACTGTCTTGGTTTGTCATTTAAGAGCACAAAGGTGAAGTTTAAAAAAAAATCCATCCAGAGTCCTTTCCTTTGAAAATATGAATTTTATCCAGTTACCATTATTATTAAAACACATGTTAGCTTTTGCCTCTGCCATATTATTTTCTGTTTCCTGGTTTAATGTTTCCTTGTTCCTTCTTTTTTCTCTTCTCTTTTGCTGTAAGAGCTCTGTTTTCTTTAAAAGAAAATCCCCTTCAACAATTTGGAAGGGATATATAGTTTGCTTTCTGTTAAACAAGTTTATAACTTTAAATAACACACTCAGACTTCTTTTTCTCAATATATCATCGACGTGGTTTTTTTTTAAACCGTGCTTGGCTGTCTACCCTGATTAGATTCACCATTTGCTTGCCAAAACTCCTCCTCACTTATGCCAAGCTGAGTTTTTCCTCCACAGCCCAGACTACATGGCTCTGGCTGCCCTTGTTTGTGGCTGTTTAAAAACAAAACTCGTTAACATATTGTCAAATCATCCTTCTCTGAAGCCTACAGAGATTTGGCTCTAGCTGCCAATGGTAAAACAGCATGCAGCCTGCAAGTCATGGCTCCAGGCCCACTCTGGAACAGAGGAGGGCAGTACAGGATGGGGTGGAAGGCCCAGAGATCTAGGAGTGACAGTCATGGTGCCTCCCCATGGCCTGCCCCCCAGGAGGCAGCACATAGCCTTGGGTCAAAGTGCCCTTCTCTCTTGCTCCATAGTTCAAAGCATTCCCTGGTAGTTGTTCAAACATGGGGTTCTCACCTCCCCAACAATGTTAAGTGCTTGCTTCCCCAGGTCAGGAAAATTGTGATCTCTCCTGCCTTCTTGGCTACCCATCTCCCTGTTCACCAGCATCTTCTAGAACTCTCTCCAGGGCTACCCCATCTCTTCCTAAGAGGACTCTTGAGAGATCAGAAGAGGGTGCGTGGGAGCCACATGGGGCATTCCTGGAGGGCCTCCCTGTTCCTCCTGGTCTCAGCAAACCTCTTTGTCCTCCATAGTTTAGCTTCACCTGCTATCTCCAGGGAGTCTTCCCGATTGCTTTGGTTCCCCTGGCCTCCTGGTCATTTGCTCCACTCCTACTCAGTTTTCTCTCCTGACCTGATCTCTATCTCAAAACTATGGAATCTGATTTCAACTAGACTCTGAGTTGCTGAGGCTGAGGCTGGGGTCTCCTCCTCCTGCTGCTCCTCATGGCTCACAGGACTAGATACCAGGCGAACTGAGGAAAGATCTATTGACCAAATGGAAGGTCAAGACAAAGGACCTGATGCCTGGGTTTAAATGCCACATCTGCTGCTTGTGAGTGGTGGGACCTTAGGCAGGTTACCTCATGTTTCCACAAAGGCCATTGTTGGGATCAAAGGTGACAATGTGACAATGTGTGAACTACATAGCATGGCCTCTAGCCCTGGAACACCAGAAAAATTGGAGCTACCAGTGCAATCTCAGCCAGCATTGGTAACTGCATTGAAATGGCCTAATGGAGCTATGTGCAGGTGGGTGTGTCACCAGAGCATGGGGGTGGGGGCAGAAGGCTGGTGACTTGCGACCTATGCCAGCTGTACACTGTGAGTGTGAAATCATTTCCCTTTGGTGGAACACAGGGGCCCGCCCGATGACCTCTGTATGTGTGTGGTGTTGTGATTTTGTGAGCTGACTCCTGTTCCGGGGGCCAGGGGAAGCACATCTTCAGCAGAGGCTCTGCCCCAGTTTCTGGCCTGGCTCTCCAGCTGGAGACTTCCGTTCCCTGCCCTCCCCCCTTCTCCATCCCTCTCCCTGCATCCCCAGGAGGATACCAGTGCTCCACTGCTGAGCAGGATCATGAAGATGATGAACGTCTCAAACCAGCTGTGCTCCACGATGCGGTAGCAGGTCTTGCGCAGTCGCCACCAGACCTTCCCTGGGGCCTGTGTGGTATCCACGGCGCAGCAAGGACAGCGCCGGACACAGCCTGTCGGAGAAGAGAGGTGGGGTCAGGCCCAGGTCAGGGCCTGCATATGACTACATCTGATCGCAAAATGTTGGATGGTGGAAGGGGTGACTGAGAAAGCAGTTATGAACAGGGTGACATGGTGGGCAGGCGTGGTGGGACAGTGGAGAACACCATGGTGCTGTCCTTAGGGACCCACGCCCAGCAGGAACTCCATGGAAAAGCCAGATGGACTAGGCACCCAGGGCAAAGGGCCTGGGAGATCTGAGCAGGGGGAAGGCTGGGGCTGGGATGGGCTCCAGTTTCTCCTCTGCTCATCTGGGAAACTCTCCCCCTGGGGGAATATTCCAGAACCCCTGGGGTACTCTGTTTCTGGGTCTTCTCCATGTTTGCAGTTTTTAAGCCTTGAGAATGGCAACCCCCTCACTGGTAGCCATGTGGAGGGCAAACTCTCATTTTACCCCCAGCTGCCTTCTGAATATACCACCGATTCATAAAAGCTACAGATACTGATGACCAACATGGTCACATGTCACACCCATGAGCATTTACAGAAAAGGCTAGGCTCTGTGCCAGGGGCACAGATGAAGAGGATGAAGTCCCTGCTGCTGAGGGGGGCATCACTCTACCAATGTGGGGTCATGGGTCTTCAGTACAGCTGACCCACAGCCACCCAGATTGGCACTCCACAGGCAGGCTTGTCATTAGGTCCTAGGTGGAAGGAGGGGCCCCAGGGTCACAAGGAATGGGGAGGGATGTAAGCATTGGGGTCAGAGTGGGGTCCAATATGGCCTTGGGCCCCAAGGAGCTGCTGGGTGTTTTGCCCCTCTGGGGCTGTGTACCTTCAGTGAAGCAGTCCTCTGGATCCTTGACATCCTCACCCAGGTCAGGGATCTGCTCCAGGAGGTCTGCTGTGTTGGTCATGTCTGCCGTGCTCCCCTCCGAGTAACTGTCCTCGGGAGCCTGTGGACAGGGCCGTGTGGTGGGGTGGGTGAGGGCCATGTGGAAGCTTCCAGCCTTCAGCCCAGAGTCTGGGGCAGTCAGGGGCTCCCTGAGGGGAGGTGCTCAGACTACTTTCCTTTGCATAACCTGGAAATCTGAGCCCAGGGTGGGTGGGTGGGAACCTGCCCTGGGGTTGAACTGAGGCTGGACCTCAGGAGCTCCTGAGTCTGTGGTTCTGGTCTGCTGGAGTCTAGGATGGGGTACAGCGGGGATGGGGAATGCATCCAACTGGGAACAGACAGACTTGGGCAGCAACATGGACTCACACTTGGAAAAGGACTCACGGTGGTAGCTTGGCGCACACGGAGGAGACAGGCATGCCACACCCAGAACAGAATCAACCAGGACCACAGGCACATACAGGTGTGAGGTCAGACGTGCAGAGCACAGGCCAGCAACCCAGCCTACACTTCTCACCCAACTCATGAATGCTGGTGTGATGGGCAGAGTCTGCAGTAAAAGCAAGAAGGTATCGGAGACTTCTCTGCCTGGCCACACAGGGTTCTCGAACCCTGACCCTGCGTAATCTGATTCTAGAGAGGCATGTGCATATGGTATGCCCTTGTGAGTGTCTATGTCTGTCAGGTGTGGGTGACAGCGTCGGGGGGGGGGGTGCAGCAGTGCTCACTGTGGGGGCTTTGTCCCGTTCCTCCTGTTATGCCATTGCACTGTGAACGCAGGCTGCTGAGCTGGCCCCTTCTCCAGAACAGTCTATAGCTGGGGAGTGGCTGTCCCTGGTAATGGCTTGGGGGTTACAACCCAAGCCAGGGGTGACTGACACCCAGTGTTGCACTGACATGGGAAGACACAAGGCCAGCCCCTTGCCTCGGGGTGGGGTAATGCCATGTGGAGCTCATGCTCCAGGGCTCCCCACTGGACCAGCTGAAACCCGAATTCGGTACCTGGCCTTCCGAAGCTTCTTTGTTGGCCTCATCCTGCTTCTCCCACCTCCCTATCAGCTTCTCCAAGGGCACTCCCTCAGTAAATCATTTGCACAGGCAGCCTGTCTTAGCCTCTGTTTCTAGGAGCCCACTCTGCAGACAGGCAAGGCAGGGGCTTCTGAGAAGGAAGGGGAGGCTTCAGTGGTCTTGGATCCCGTCCATGCCACCAGCTAAGTGGGGATGCCCGTGTCGCTCTGTCTCAGGCTCCACTTGGAGATGAGCTGGTTTGAGTCCCCGGGCCTGCCTCTGCTCCTGAAGCTGTCTTCTTTTCCCTTCCTTCCGTGACTCACTCTGCTGTTATCTCAAAGTCCCCTTTAGTTTTGGTGTTTGTGATGGGGAAGGGCTGGACGCTGCGGGGAGAGTTGGGGGGGCTCCCGGGTATAGGATAGAGCCTTAGACCTTTTGGGGTCCCTGTGGCTTTGAAGCCTTCATCCTTCTGCCCACAGCTTCACTGGGCAGCTGAGCTGGAAAAGGGATGAGCCAGAGGATGTCTCTGTGCTTTTCAGACACTGGAGCTGCATAAAGTACCCAGCGCATCGGGTGGGAGGTAAGTTCTCAGGATCCCGCTGCAGGTGAGAGGAGGGGTCTTTTTCTCAGGAGAATTCAGCCCACCTCTCTCTCCCTTTGATGCGTCCCACCACGAACAGATTTGAGAGGAAGAAGTTTCATCATGCCAGTACGAAAGCCCCTTCTCTCTGTGACCTGTGCCCCTCCTGTATCTTCCTGTTCCCATGTGCCTTTGTGTGCCAGACCCTCCAGCGGAGAGGTGTGAGCTGCCCTGCTGGGATGAAGACTCCAGCAGACGCTCATGCTCCAAAGCTGATCATGATCACAAAGCCTCCCATAAGCCCCTCCCATGAAAGGGACAAGGCAGCACGTGCAATGTTCCGTTGGAGGGAGCCACAACTGCGGGACCGAGGACCATGGACGCTGTCTCTGAACACTTGACCTCACCTTCCACAGTGCTTGGTGTGAGCGGGGACGGGTGTGCAGGGTGGGGGCCTGGTAAACACACCACAGTCCTTTATTCAGGGGTTGTGACACAAATGCTTATGGGGTGGAATGCTTGTAGGTAGTGGAATGAAGTTAGGCAAGTGGGGTCTGTGGCAAACCAGAGAGCTCCAGCTCATCCGTCAAGGAGGCGGTTATCACTTGTCTCCAGCAGCGTGGCTCTTCTTCCAATGTTTTTTCATTTTTTTCCACTTTTGTCTACATTTCAGAAATGCAGATTTGTTTTTACTTTGGCTTTTGGGTTTTTTGGTTTTTGTTTTCGTCTTTTTATATAAAAGCTACTGGGTTTTAAATGTTGGTAGTAAATTGAAATTAAAACCCTTCTGTGGCCAGAACAAAACTCTACACTAGGCCTTCTGTTTGCAGCCTCTGCTTTAGTCAAGGAGAGAAGCAGCTGGTCGCCAATGTGCCAGGAACTTGTTCTCAGCAACCCCCCCGATAGTCCCCTGGGATGGGGTAATTCATAGGACAAACATTTGCCAAAGAGGACCAAAGCACGGGGACTGAGTGAGGTGGGGTGAACACATGAAGGTGTAGGGTTAGTCCTGCGTCAGGGGCCTGAGCTGGCTGCTTCCAGAATTTCCCAGAAGCTCTGGGCCCCACCCCATCCCTCCCCTGCCAGGACAGGGCTGCCCATGCTCCCCTCTGCCAATGGGTCTCCCACACTGTGTGTGACGGTGGCTACGGCTCCCCCAGCAGGTGCAGGTGTAAGCCAGGACCTCTCATGGCCTGGCTCCAGTCCAAGTGGCAGTGCCATGCCGGCTTCAGGAACAAAGATGTGGGTTACCTCACTGCACCCTGGGGCTGGGGGCTCCACCTTCCGCTGCTGCCGCCAGTCTGCCTGAGCCACACTGGCCTCGGAAGAGGCAGTCTCTGACACCTGGCTCCAGGCCCCCGGCTCTGGGACGGCCTCTGGGCTGCCGGAAACAGGCTGGGATTCCTGCTGAAGAGACCCCAGCCCATGAGTGACCCAGCCAGAGTGTTTCCAGGGTCCCGCATATGCAACTGGAACATGGTCTCCTGCCCTCTTCATGGGGCCTCATGTCACTGAAGATCTCTCCCTCAAGGGCCCAGAGTGGGCAGCTGGGAGGCTTCCAGAAGATCCAGGCAGACAGCTCCAGGTCAACCTGGCTTCAATCTCCCCCTCCCCCCACTCCCTGGAAGGGCGCAGCTGGGCTGCAATGCCCACTGTCCAAATGCTGGCAACTCCACTCTGGAGTGACATACCGACATCCCCATGAGCTCCCATGGCTTGCCACGTGTATCCCCCCTCCCCACCCACACCCACACCCACACCCACACACACACACACACACACACACACAGGCCCCAGGGAGCCAGAGTCAACAGGCTCAGGAGAAAGAAAGGGGATGAAAAGGGAGCATCCTAGAGATAATCGGTAGCCGTGGTCATGGCAATGCCAATCCTCCCCTCCCCCAACATATACCACCACTGTCCCACAGCCTGACACAAGGGGTGGGTGGAAGCTGGCCTCTGGGACCACCGGGAGGCACAGAGATGTGGAAGCAAGCCTGGAACCTCAGTTCTAAGTTCACACACGGGCGGCGGGGGGCGGGGGGGCGGCAGTTGCTCTTCACAGCAAACCTGCCCAGTACACGGCCCAAAGGAAGTAGCCAGGACGGGCCCAACCACACAGAGAACCACTCACTGTTTGACCTAAAGACCTAAGGAGGAGCCATTTGAGCCTGGCTCGGGCCACAGGAAAACAGAGGGGGGGGGTGGGTACTGTCTCTTTTGTCCAGACTCTGGTCCTAAGTGTTAAAAATAACAGGTTGGGAGATAAGATAGTGCTGTCTCTGACACCTGCCATCTTAGGGATGCTTATTTTTAAATCTCAGAGTTAGCCCTGGGCCTGGGAGGAGGGGAAAGGGCAGTCAGGAGGTCAGGAGACTGCACTCCTCCCTCACCAAGACATTCCACCTTGTTAGTCCTGGAGGGGGACAATGGTGGGCGGGGACCAGGAGTGCTGGCTCTGTCATAGGGGTGTAGGGCACTCCTAGCAAGTTTCTCTCTTGCCACATCTAGTTCCCCTTTCTGTACAATTAGCTGCTCGTGGCTGGCATCAGATCAATGAGGGACAATAGTCCATTCCGAGGTCCTCTCTGGGTCAGGTTGGGAAAACAGGGTTGGCACCCATCGGTGAGGCTGCCTCTACCTCCACCCTACTCCTGGAGCAGTCTGGCAGGGGCTGGGACCCCTGGAGAGCACAGCCCCAGGCCCTGCATATATGCATTGGGGGGCACTCACCTGCTTGCTGGACTCTTCCTCTGTGCCCAGGCTATTCTCTTCATCCTCCTCTTGGTCGTCCGTGTCTGACTCAGCCATGGCAATGGGCACACACACAGGTTCTGTATCCCCAGGGGTGCCCTGGCCTGGCTGCTTGTCTTCCTCAAATCGTGTCTCCTTACGGGCAGGAGGCACCTTCTGTGACTCCGGGGGTGGTGGGGAGCTGGATGTGGCCATGCAGCCGGGCAGCTGGCCATGGACAGCAAGGGCCGTAGGCTTTGGAGGCCGCTGTAGGAGTCCACAGCAGAAGTCCCAGGTGGTCCGCTTGAGGAAGCGCAGGCCACGCTGGATGCGTGCCAGGGCCAGCTGGAGGTTGTTCATCTCCCCATCGTCGTCAGGGGCTGTGAGGTTGTCTGCACTGAAGGAGCTGAGCAGCAAAGCCAGGAAGAGGTTCAAGACCTGTGGAGGCAATGGATCAGGCTTGTCAGGCAACTGAGTCCCGGGGACCTTAAGGATCGGTGATGGCCAACAGCTCTAGGGTCAAACCACTGGGCCCTCATCCTAAATCCTAATTCTCTTGAATCTAGTGCATTTGGCTATAAAACAAAAGATAATAAATTCTCATCCCTTTTTCCCAAGGGCTCAGATACAGTTTGGGTTGAGGGCGTTTGGCGGCATGGCCCCAGATCCCTTGGCCCAGGGTCCATGGGAGAACCATGGGTTTATCCAGTGATGAAGCCTGCAGATGGGCTCTTGCTGCCTTGGGAGTAGTGGAGGACAGTGGGCTGCTCCCCAGGAAGTGGGATCCAATCTGGGATCACCAGGGACAAAACAGAACCCCACCCAGAAACAATCCAGAGCTCCTGGGGGCTTTCCTGGGAAAGGGCCTTTACCTCTGTTGGTGAAGGAGGGGGTAGTGGTGAGTCTCTGAGCTGGCTCAGTACTTGGACATCAAAGGCTCTTGCTGTGGAGTACACCCTACCTGTGTCCCCAGGTGTGACTATGCTTTCCAGGTGAGGGACATGGAGGACAGAGCCGAGAAGGGGCAATGGCAGGAGAAGAAAGGCACAGGCATCTGGGACTGTAACTACAAGGTCAGGACACAGAGAGGTGGCTGGCTAGGTGGTGACGGGTGCTTGGATGGGTGCTAGGTACGGGACCAGACACTGGGGATGGGGTGGAGGCACCTACGGCTGGAGCTGGGGGAGGGGCTGAGGTTGTCGGGTGCCAGAGGGACAGTGCTTCACTCAGGTGACTTATCGGGGCTAGGGACTGAAGACTCCCTTAAGTGAGGTGTGCAAAACCCATCTCTCTTGGCATGGTTCTGGACGCCTCCACCCCTGTGTTGTTAAACCATCCTGCCAGTGTAAAACTTTAGCTTTTGTGAATAAAGAGACCTTCAGCTGAATGACAGAAGGGTGGCCTTGTGTTCATTTCCCAGCCTCAGGGAGGGCAAATGGAAGTGACGGTGGGCTTGTTCCCACACATGGGTCAGACTGGCTCCTGAGGCTGACAGGCCAGAGACACCGCCTCCCCACCTTGGGCTTTGTGTCTTCTCCCAGACACCCCCAAAAGAGGGTTCCCTTGAACGGGGGACCTTTACGGCAGGGAGGTATGTGAAGGTGGGTGTGTGGTTCTCTAGGCCCCTCTTCGGCTTGTCACAAGCCCCTAAGACATGCTTCATGCCTGTCAAGGAGCTAGGGACGAGAATTCTGAAGGAAGCAGTGGCAAGGCTGGAGCGCCAAGAGTCAGAAACACGTCTTTGCTTTAAGAAGCAATGCACATTCACGCGGACAGAATGGCAAGGTAAAGAAGCAGGGGCTGGCATTCCATATGGGGAGACGATCACATTTGACACCTGGCAGCCTTTTTAATGTCATCCCTGGGGGGTAGGGCACTTGATGTGATTCAGGGCTGCTGTCTATACTGACCTCTGGCGCGGTTCCTGGACTGCCTCCACTCCCAGCTGCCCACCCTGAATCCTCTGCCCTCACCCGTGCCTCACCTCCAGGTATCTAGGGCCCAGGCTGGAGGAGGTGGGTGTCTGGGCAGCCCCAACCACCCCCACAAGAATGCCAGGTCCTCCCTTGTTGCTGCTTCTGAGGTTTGGCTTCTTCCAGTGCTTTCCCCGTCAATCATGCTGCTGCTCCCCAGCCCCTGCCTGATCATGACTTCCCATTTCAATGGCAATCTTGCTTTTCCACCCACGCCCGGCAGCGGCCCAATTCCTGAGGCGACCAGGGAGGGGGCTGCGTGGGCTGCGTTAGCTTCCCTCCTCCAGCAGCCTCTAATCTTCTCATCCCCAGGCAGATCCGCTAGGAAATCGCAGGGCTGTGTGCATGAGGGCAGCGGGCCTGGCCCTGGGCTGAGAGCCTGGTGCACTTGCATCCTCTTTAGAATACATAGTCTGGTGGCTCCCGGAGCTGACCCAGGGCTGAGGAGGCTCCATCCTGAGGGGTAGTCAGTTGGAGGTTGCAGGGGGGTGCAGCCCAAGAACTGGGTTTTACTGGCACCATGCACCGATGCCCTATCCCCTCTGGGGGCTCCACCAGTGGGGCTGGAGGGGGCCTGACCCCAACTTGGCTGGGGGCCACCCTTGCATGTTTAAGGCACACTGGAGGAGAAGCAGGCAGGTTTGCAGAAGGGCTCTGTCTGGAACCTGCAGCCCACAGTACTTGAGCCACCCACAAACCCTCTCTGAGCTGATGTGAGTCTACACTGCCCACAGCAGCGAGAGTCAGATTATGCAGGTGTGATGTCTGAGCACATGTGGACCACCTGTGTGCTCAGGCAGGTAGCTCCCTGTCCACGTGGACACTGACTCCTTCCTGAACCACCCATTTGCTGCAACCTTGCCTCTTCCCATAGTTCCTTCTCTGGCATTTGGCTTTTTGATCTCTCTCAACTCCAGAATTCCTCACATTATTAAGATACAAGGCAAAAGGCACCTGTTCTAGGACACAGGTGGCCAGGGAAGCAAGGGTAGCTCATGACAGGGTAGTGGGGACTCCCACCATAGTGAGCCAGGGTGACATACAAGCCCCTGTGGGCCCTGCCTTACCTGGACCACCTGCTGCACCTATGCGGTGCTCCCGTTGTTCCTTCCCACTCTAGTATCATGAAACCCTCCTCTAGGAAGCCTTCCTTGATTTCCCTTTTTGAAGGGGACCACCACCCACGGGCTCCTCCTTAATGCCTCTGATCATTCAAACCAGCTTGAGAGTTATCTCAGGCCTGTTTGAACTTTCCTTCTCCCCACTCTCCCACTGGTGAGCAATGTGAGGGCCATGTTCACCTCTGTATGTCCAGCAGCATCTGCCACAGTATATTGCATGCAACAGGGGCTCAGTAAATGCCTGTTAAGCTGAATTGAAAAACCATGTGATAGATCATTGACAGTAAATGACTAATAAAATAGCTGGCAGATGAGTAAATAAGTTAATGAATATAAAATGAGTATATAAAGAATAAACAGGTACCTAGGTAGGTGATTGAATGAATGAGCAAATGAGGAGGGATGCAAATGGATGGATGGATCCATGGCTAAGTAGAGAGCTGATTGGATAAATGGGTAGATGGAGAGGACTGGTGAATGAGTGAATAGATTGTGGGTTGACAGATGGATGTGCGGGTGTATTAGTGAGAGGAGGGATAGATAAGAGAGTAAAAATATGGGTGATGGATGAATGGATAGATCATGGGTGGATGAGTGAATGGATGGGTGGACAGTTGGGCAAATGGATGGATGAATAGGTGTGTGTATGTGTTTATGAAGAGAAGTTGATGGATGGATGGGTGAGTGAGTGAATGAATAGATGGACAGATAAACAGATGAGTGAAGGGATGGATGGGTATGAGAATGAATAGGTGGGGGTGATGGATGGCTGGGTGAGTGAGTGAATGAATAGATAGGAGGACTGGAAACTGAATAAACAGACTCATGAAGAGGTGGACAGATGGATGGTAAGTCAGTGGGTGGGTGACTGATAAGTAGATCAATGGCTGGATAGGGAGATGTATGGATGAGTAGAGAGATGGAAAAATAAGTGAATAGATGGAATCGTGAGCAGATGGATGAGTAAATGGGTGCCTAGGTGGGTGGATGAATGAATGGATGAATAGATAGATGGAAAGATGGGTAATGTATAGGTGGCTGGGTGGGTAAATGGACAGATGATGAGAGAATGATCGATAGATGGATAGTTTGATAGATGGCTGAGTGAACGAGTGGATGGATGGAAGGAAGTTAAGTGAATGGACAGAGGGGATGACTGGATGGGTGAATGTGTGTGTGGTGTATGTGAGGCCACTGGCCAACTTACCACAAGGTTGCCAATGACCATAACAAGCAAGAAGACGAGCAGGCACAGTGACTGCCCAGACACCTCCATGCAGTCCCACATGGTCTCAATCCACTCCCCACAGAGGATGCGAAAGATGATGAGAAAGGCATGGAAGAAGTCCATCATGTGCCAGCGGGGCAGCAGGCCCGAGTCACTGATGCGGTGCCTCTGTTCTGAGTAGTTCTTGCCAAAGAGCTGCATGCCCACCACAGCGAAGATGAACACGATGATGGCCAGCACCAGCGTCAGGTTCCCCAGCGCCCCCACTGAGTTTCCGATGATCTTGATGAGCGTGTTCAGGGTGGGCCAGGATTTGGCCAACTTGAAGACCCGCAGCTGGGGAGGGAGGTGTCACTGTGAGGGGCTCTAGTTCCTGCTACCATGGACACCCTTAACACTGCTAGCTCCTGCCTAAACACCCAGGGGGCCCACAGACACCTGTTTCTCCCAGAGCACTCACTGCTGTTTCTCTCTACAGCCTGAGGCAGCTTTGCTGGGCTCGGCTCTGGGAGTCAGGACAACAGCTCCAGCTTCATCTCCCCAACTCAGTCTTGCTCTTCAGCCCCACACCAGCTTCCTACCCGCCTCAGGCTCACTTCCCAGAACTCCTTAGTAGATTTCTCCAGCACGGGATGTCCTTCCTCTTCCAGACTCATCTTCATCAGGTCAAACCATCTCTGATTTGCCCAACTGCCTCTAACTTTCTCTCCTCTCAGTTATCACAAAGAGGGCAGGTGCCTAGCATCTCTTGAATACCTGCTGTGCCAGCCCATGCTTAGGATGGCTTACCTCATTCAGAGCCCCAGTAACCTCTTGAGATGAAGCCAACCCTTTGACAGATGAAGAAGCCAACCCTTAAAGGTGGAGTAACTTATTTAAGTCCATTAGTTCATGGCAGTGGAGTCAGGATGAGAACCCATAGCTTGGACTTTCTCTGCCCCTATCATCCTGCCTTCCAAGCCCCCAGTGAACCCGGCAACATTGCCCAGACTTCCTCCAGGAAGACATCCCTCACCTACCTTCAGTCCCATGTGTGGAGTCAAAGAGTGGTCCACAGACCAGAAGCTTTGGCATCACCTGAGACCTACTAAATTAGCATCTGCAGTTTAACAAGATCCCCAGATGATTTGTATGTGCATTAGAGTTTCCAAAATGCTGACTTTGAAACCAGCATGGAGAACCTCAGGAGAGCTCTCAGCAGACCTGACTCTACCTGTTATTTGCCATGTGGCTTTTGGGAAATTTATTTCACTTGAGTCTTAGTCTCCTCATCTGTGAAATGGGTATGTAGAAATACTAGCTCTTCTCCTGGGATCCTATGAGGACTAAATGGGGCATGGTGAACCATAAAGGGCTTTGCAAGTCACCAGGATGGCCATCCCAATAGTTTCCCCAGAGGAATGTCTCCCATCTTGCCCCCTCTGTACTCCCTGCATTACCAGCACTGAGGTACCCAGCAAATAGCTGTTGGACGAAGTCAAGATGGATCAGAGTAGGGGTGACTGAGCGGTGACCTCAGAGGGAGTTGCCTTAGTGCCCCAGACCCCCACCCTGCCTCCCTGTAGTGGACCCAGTTGGGTACCAGGCGGAAGGAGCGCAGCACTGAGAGGTTGCCCATGCGGGACAGGCCCAGCTCCATGAGGCTCAGGATGACAATGATGCTGTCAAAGATGTTCCAGCCCTGCTGGAAGTAGTAGTAGGGGTCCAGAGCGATGATCTTGAAAGTCATCTCTGCGGTGAAGATCCCTGTGAAGACCTGGTGAGGGACAGAGAGATCAGGGTTCCCAGTATTTGGGCTGGAAAGACCCTTGGGCCAGGAGGGGTGCCCTGCTTTCTGACTCTTGCTCCCACAGGGTCCCCCTCCTGGGCTGCAAGCTCTGACTGTACCCTGGCTCCCAGGGAGTGCTTGCTTGGCCATGGCCCAGGGCCTTGGGGATACCTGCAGCCTGATGCCCCAGCTTCCTCTTTGGCTCACTACCCATGATCTGGCAGCCTGCCAGAACCAGCCAGATCCCTCTCAGGCCCCACAGAGACTTATAGCTCAGGAAGCACCTGGGGGGCAGGGGAGGCTGAGGTGAGGGCGACACAACCCAGCCTGACACCTTCCAGCCCGTGTCACCACAGGAAGTACTCTCATTCCACATGTGCCAAATACACGTATTCCTGCAAACACTCGGCTTTCATGTCTCAGGGCATTTGCCCATGCTGTTGCTGCTCCATCTTGTCCACACGCTGAACTCTTGTCTGTAATAACAGCTAGCCAACTCTTCTCGAGGGCATGACAATGTGCCAGTCCTGGGCTAGAATGCTCTGTATGTGTTGTTCCTTTTAATCCATCTAACAACCCCATGAGGAAAGTATCATCATTCCCATTTTACAGGTAAGGAAACTGAGATGCTGACATGTTAAGTACTTTGCCTGTATGGAAGTACCATACATAGCTGGTATGCTGGAGAACCAGAAAATGAACTCAGTGTTGTCCTTTAAGATTTAGAGCAACCCCCTCCGCCTCCTGGAAATATTCTTGAGGTAGGCAGGGGCTCGGTTTTCCTCCATTTGTTGGCACGGAGTTGGGAGCCACCCAGCCTCGACCAGCAGTCTCGTGGTCCAGAAGCCCTTCGTGTGGTGGGCCACAGAGCTGTGACCATTTCCAACTGCTCCATGGTGTGCCAATTGCCTCGACAGGGAACTTGGTTCCCGCAGGAGGGGATGTCCTAGGAAGGCGTGGCTGGCAGGAAGCTGGGCCTGCATACAAGGCCATTTGGAGCTGAGGGGGTTATTGTGAGGATGGGGAGGAGTCACGAAGGTCTTCTGTGGGTGAGGGCTGAGGTGGGAGGGCCAGAGCATTCCTGGGGACAGTACCAGGGCTGCGGCAGTGGCCAGGGAGGAGAGGTCAGAGACAGGAAGGCCGAGTAGCTTGCTGGGGTCAGCAAACAGGAGGGGATCACCCAGGCCTTGGCAACCCCCATGAGAGCTCTGTACTGAAAGGAAAGAAGGAGAGATACCTGGACCGGCCCCTTCCCCCTCTGCTCAGATAACGCCCTGTGGTGGTGGGCTGGGGGGCAGGGATCTGTACTGGCCCAGGGAGCGGGCACCAGGATGGCAGGTGGGCAGGTACCTGTGCATGGCCACGCAAGGCACCGCCCACCAGCCAGCCCTCATGCCTTCAATGGTCCCTTTAGGGCTTGTGCCAGAGAACTGATCTTACACCAGCTGGGATCTTAGGGAAGGGAGGGCCCCTGAAATCTCTCAGTCTCAGCTCTGATGCCTGGGCTCCCCTCATGGTGGGGAGGCATCCTTGGGTTCTTCTGCACCTTTCCTCAGCACCCAGGCCTGTCCCTGGGTTCTGTATCCATAACATTTTCCATCCCTCTGACTGCATCTCTGACTGCATCTCCTCCTGCTCTTCTAGCTTGTTTGTCTCCTCACTGTCGTTCCTCAGGGCCTTTGTATATGCTGCTGCCTTTCCTTGGGCCATCTGCCCTCCGCCACCCACAGAGCTCACTCCCTTCAGGTTGGGGCTTAAAAGCCACCTAATGGATGAGGCTTCCTGATGTTTAAAATCAGGACTTCCTCCCACCAAACTCCTCTTCCCTCTTCTCTGCTTTGTCTTTCCTTCACTTACCACCATGTGACATACTGTGTATGTAGCTACAGATTTGGCTAGACTGCAAGCTCCATAGGAGGGACCTTTTCTGCCTACTGGTACAAGAATTGTGTGCAGCCAGGAGGCAATCCACTGATGTTTGCTGAATAAACATACAAATACTTGGGCCTTTGACCTTAGGCCCTGCAGTGTCTGGTGTCCTGCCAGCCACACTCCCTGCACTGGGTCTCCCTGAGAACCCCTAAGGGTGGGGCCTGGGAGACTAGACCCTCTGGTCTCCCCCCATCACCTGTTGGAGCATGCCAGGGTGGGTGTGTTCTTAAGGCCTGTTCAGCAGACCCATGAGTGCTAACTCATTTCTGGGAAGGGAGCTCAGGAAAGATCCTGTCTTTGCCCAAGTGCAAGTCTATTTTGACATCAAGAGAGCAGATATTAGTTGGCACTGGAAGTCAGAAGAAAAAGACAGCAGAAGCTCTTGGGGAATGCAATGCCTCTTGGGGACATGATAAGGAATCAACAGCATCACCTGGAAGCTCTTCAGAAATGCAGAATCTTGAAGATCCGTGACCTGCTAGAGCAGAACCTGCATTTTGATTAGGTTCCCAGGAGATCAGAAGTTTAAGTAGTACTATTTTTCAGCACTGGTTTTCCAACTTGGTGCTTGATCCCAGGACACCAGTATCATGACCTGAGCAGAAGGCAGATGCTTAACAGACTAAGCCACCTAGGTGCACCCCCCTCCCCCGAGAGCTTTAACAATACTGATGCTTGGATCCTACTCTCAGAGATTCTAGTTAAATTGGACTAGAGTGCAGTCCAGGGATTGACTTGTTGTCATTTAACTTCCTAGGTGATGCTAATATACTGCTAAGCTTTCGAAGCACTGCTTTACAAGTGCATAAATTTGGTGTCAGATTCCTCCTTCCAAAGGATCAGCCCAGGCTTTCTAAGGCCATGTGATCAAAGCTTGATGGCTTAAGACACGTAGAGAATGGCAGGAGACCCAGGTTCCAAAGCTAAGTCTGCCACTGTGTGATCTTGGTCCAGTTTCCTCAACTCCCTGAGCCTCAAGTATCCTCCTATGTAAAATGGGAATGATGACGACTCCATAGGAAGTTTCTAAGAGTTAGAGCTAATGGATGCAAAGCAGATGCTCCCTACTGGCGGGCCATAATTGTTATCATGGGCAGCATTTATTATGACTGATGAGAGTGGCCGAGAGTGCCAGGCGCAGGGCTGCTTCAAACAACTCTGCATGTTTTATAGGCTCCCTGGGATCTGGCAGGCTGAGACTGTGAGGGTGGAGACCCACTTTCCCTGACTCCTGGCAGGATGGCCAGTGAGCAGTGCTGATGGTGGCTTCCCAGGAAGTGGGGGGACCTTTGGGAAACTTAAATTCTCCTTGTATATTTAATATCTTTAACATAAAATTGCTTTTAAAACTTCATTTCTGTGAACATCCTTCAATGTCAATTAAACATGTCTACGGCATCTCTTTCCCTCCCTCCCTCCCTTTCTGAACAGTTGTGGAATATTCCACTGTACAGATGTGCCATAGTATTTCCCTCTGAGGCATTATTTTGTTCCTATTAAAAACATTGCCATAATAAATAAATAACCTTCCACATACTTGTTTTGAGACATCTTGCCCAGTTCTTTTCTTAGGATAAATTTCTGGAAATGGAATTGCATAGTCAATGAGCATTTTTGGAGATTCTGACACATATATTTTAATTGCACAATGGTTGGAGATTGAAGCATACATGATACCCTGTCTTTGGTGCAATTTGCCTTGAGACACAAAATGTGGTCATTCTGTAAATGTTCCATGTGTATTTTCTCTAACTATTGGGTGCTGTGCTCTGCGCATTCATTAAGTCAAGCTTTTTATTTCTGTTATTCAAGTCCTCTAGACCGTTGGTGATGTTTTGCAAGCTTGAGCCATGAGTTATGGAGGATGGTCTCTCACTAAGATTGTGGTCTTGTTAAACTGATCTTATTATCTGCTTTACATAGTTGGAAGCTATGTAATTTGGTGCATACAGATAGAATTGTATGTTCCTGGTGAATTGTTCCTTTCATCTTTATGTTTTGGATCTCTTTATCCTTCAATAATACTTTTTCTTTAAAGTTTGATAATAACACAACTCCATCAATTTTCTTGATAGTATTTGTCTGTTCTCTCTTTTTCCCATCTCTTTTAGGGATTTGGATCTCAATATATTTAGGTATCTTCTGTAAAAATATATAGCTGCATTCTATTTCTTTACCAAACTGACAACCTGTCATTTAACTGGTGACTGCAGTCCCTACCACTATTTATTATGATTTCTGGTATATGTGGACCTATGTCTTCATTTTATTTTGTGTCTTCTATTTTTTTAATTTAAATTCAATAGCCAACTTACAGTACATCATTAATTTCAGATGTAGTGTTCAATAATGTATCAGTTGCATATAACACCCAGTGCTTATTACATTACGTGCCCTCCTTAATGTCTATCACCCAATGTGTCTTCTATTTTTTGTTTGCTTTTTTTTTCTCCTTTGCTTTCTTCTATTAGATTGAATTGTAAAATTTCTTCATTTTCCTCTCTACTGGCTTGGCAATTAAGACATTCCTATTCTCTTAGAGGTTACCCTACAAGTTTTAAAAATTAGGCTTAAGTTAATAACACCTAAATTAATTAATATTTCAGAATGTACATGAACTTCAGACCATCCTACCTCCAATCCCTGCTCCATGCCTGGCAGGAGGGCCACTGAGCAGTGCTGATGGTGGCTTTCCAAGAAGTGGGGGGGACAGTATAGTTCCAATGTTTTAGTTCCTACTTTTTATACCCTCCAGTCATCCTTATTGTTATTGTTTTTTAAAAATTTATTTATTAATGAGAGATACAGAGAGAGAGAGAGAGAGAGAGAGAGAGAGAGAGAGGCAGAGACACAGGCAGAGGGAGAAGCAGGCTCCGTGCAGGGGCCTGACATGGGACTCGATCCTGGGGCTCCAGGATCAGGCCCTGGGCTGAAGGCAGGCGCTAAACCACTGAGCCACCCGGGCCGCCCATTGTTATTGTTTTCACAGTTAATGTTTGCTTAGCTTTACCCACATGCTTACTATTCCTTTCAGGTTCTTCTCAATACTGCTTCTGCTATCATTTTACTTTCTTCTAAAGTACAAATTTTTGTTATTGTTTCAGAGAGACAATTTGTGTGTGGTGGACTCTTGGTCTTTACTTACTATCCTTTGTAAATGGTAGGACAATCCACTGTTTTCTCCAAGAACTTTGAAATGATTATTCCACTGTCTTCTGGATTTGGTTGGAGCTACTGTGGAGTTTCCCATCTATGCAACAGTTGTTCCTTAGTAGGCAACCTTTCTTGTTTTGGTTGCTGTATGTTATCTTTGCTTTTGATGTTCACCATGTCTAGATATTTTATTTATCCTGTGAAGGACTTATTGTAATTCCATAATCTGAGGGTTCATTTCTTTGATCAATTCTTACCCATTCTTTTCTTAAACATTCTTTTGTCTGCATTCTCTTATTTTTTTTTTCCTTTGGAACTCCTATCAGCTCTATGCTTGACCTTCTCATTTTGACTCCATGTCTCTGAACCTTGATTTCAGATTTTCTATCTCTTAATCTCTTTACATTCTGGGCAACTTCCTTAGATCTATAATTATATTAATTTAATTTTCCCTAGCTATATGAATGTGCTATTTGATTTATACATTGAGATTTTAATCCCAGTGACTATATTTTCCATTTCTAGAAATTCAATTTGGTTCTTTTCCAAAGCTGTTTTATTCTTTAATGTTTAATTCCTTCTTTTTAAAAAAGATTTTATTTATTTATTTATTTGAGATAGAGATAGTAACAGAGATAGGAAGAGACAGCTCAAGAGGGGAGGAGAGGGAGAAGTGGGCTCCCCACTGAGCAGGGAGCCTAACGTAGTGATCCATCCCAGGACCCTGAGATCATGACCTGAGCCGAAGGCAGATGCTTAACCAACTGAGCCACCCAGTTGCCCTGTTTAATTCTTTCTTTTATGTCTTTAGTTATTACGAACATTCTTATTTTATAATCTGTATTAGACAGTTTATCATAAGACATTCCTAAGAGGATAAGCCTCTGTATGTGTGTATGCGTGTCTGTCGGTCTGCTGACTCTTCCTCATAGTGGACTATTTCCTTGTGTGCTTTGTAATTTGGAGAACAGACTTGGCCTGGGTTAAAAGTGTGTCTTCCCAGAGAAGTTTTGTGTTTGCTTCTTGCAGTGGCCCCAAGATATCACAGGGTCACATTATCTTTTATTTTAGGCACAGGTTGCAGAAATACTCAGCTATAAATTTGAACTCCAAATCTATATAAGGCCAAATTTACAGTCATAAGCTTCCAAAGGTTCCTTTTCTCCTCATCTTCAGCCCCAGCCAAGACTGACAAGCTTCCTTCTTTATCATTTCCCAGTTTTGGTGCCAGGAGTTTTTTCTGATTCACCATTCTACTGAACTAGGGTTTTATATTCCCATGGTTACTCAGTTCCAACCCTTACCCACACTGTCTAAAGACCTGCCTTGTCTCTACACGTTCACTAAAATCCAAATCCCCAGATTACCCAAATCAGCAATATCACCTGCTCCCAACCCCTACCAGGGCAACTACAGAACCCTTTCACATGTTTACTGCTATGGTTTTTAAGTTCCTCTTTGTTTCTGGCACTAGGGGATTTTTGTTACTTTCTCATGAGCTTTGATATGCATTTCAGAATATCTGCTATATTTTTAGTTGTTTCCTAGTGGAGGACTTTTCAGGTTTTTTGGTCCACAATGTTAGGAACAGAAGTTGCATTTGCTTTCTAGATGATGAGCTAAAAGTCAAATCTATTCATCTTCTCTTTTATGGAAATGGTCTTTAATGACATGCTTCGAAAGGTTTTTCCCATACCGAGATTATTTTCCCATGCTTATTTTTGTGCTTTTGTTTTTTTTACATTTAACATTTAAACCACTGAGAATATATTAACTTCAAGACAATCAAAACCTTTCACAGTAGTAATAAAGCTATCCAAATGAAACAAAATAGAGCTATACTCCAACTACATGACCTATTACTAACAATAGAACCCCAAGTTTAACACAGCTTCAATCACAACTCAATGATCCAGGGAAGCCACCACTGCTCTTTATCACTTTGATTTGCTGCACAGAGCAACTCAGTGGTCACATTCCAATAAAAACACATTCAACTGCAATCCTACATAACCACCATCTGAAGACCACCCAACACACCAGGTACAATAATGCTTGAGACACCTACAGACTATACGAGAGCTTTCCCTCTGTTTGCATATAGAAGGAAAGAAAGTAGAATTATAGCAAAATGGACTCACGTTTACAAAAAAAAATTGAATAGACTTTGAGATAACTATCTAGAATTCTAGTTAGGAGAAGTGATAAAGGAAGAAAATCCTCAGGCTCCATAGTGTAAGAGACCTACCTGCCTGGGGGGCTACCTGTGCCGCTGAGACTGAGATAGGGCTGGCTCTGAAGCAAGAGAAAGCTTGGACTGAATGGCCCTCTCCTCCATCCCACCTCAGTGAAGATCCTGGGAGCTCCTTTCAGAGGCTACTGGGCTCTTGGCCAACCTGACCTGGGATCCCCTGGAGAAAGGCTATCTGTGTTTAGCTGGGCAGAGCCAGTAGGGCCCTGTCTCTCAGAGTCAGGAAACAGTAGTTACATGCCCACCTCTGCCACCATTATGTTACCTCTTGAGCCTCAGTTCCCCACCTTTAGAATAAAGAGGTAGGACCTGATCTGATCTCACGGAAAAAAAACCCATCAGAATCAGAACCCAGACATTCTGACTTCCAGGGGAAGTCTCTTTAATAACAGCGCCAGTGATAATAACCACAGACCGCAGCTATCATTTATTTTGAGTGCTTACTGTTTATCAAACTCTGAGCCAAGCACATTATACACATTATCTTATTCAATCCTCATTAGCTTCCTATGGGCTTGATATTGTCATACTAATTTTACATTTATTAAATTAAACAAATACTTATTGTGCCAATGACTGAGACTAAGTAATTTGCTTCAGGTCACATAATTAGAGCTGAGTCAGAATTCAAATCTGGCTCTGCCTGATTGACTCACTGCATCCAACTATCCATCCATCCATCCATCCATCCATCCATCCATCCACTCTGTCCTTCCCCCTTCTCTCTATCCATCCATCCTTCCCCTGAGAGAACTGCTGCTTATTGCATTCATTCTCCTCCTCCATTACTAATCGCCATATCTCACATCCCGGTGCATTTCAAGTTCACCCTCAACTCACTTTTGTTTTCTAACCTCTGGGCATCTTTATCCCCAACTCCTCACTCCCAGCTACATCTCTCAGCTCCTTAAAACCTGATCCTGACACTTCCTATTCCAAGATGTCTTCCACGGTGACTCCCACCTTTAGAAGACCCTTTTGTGCTCTGAATGTCCCCTCACCATCCATGAAGGCTGTGCCAGCTGGCCAAGGGCTCTTCACACCAGGATGCCCATTTGAGAGTCGGCTGGTGGCAGCCCTTACCAGGTTTCCGACCTGCAGCATCTCCTCAAACTCAGCTGTCATGTTGTAGTGCTCCAGTGCCATGAAGAGCGTGTTAAGCACGATGCACATGGTGATGGTGAGGTCGGCGAACGGGTCCATGACCATGAACTTCACTCTCTGCTTGATGGACATCCACAGCGGGCAGCACTCCCAGATCAGGTAGCGCTGGGCGAAGCGGTTCCAGCATGGTGGACACTTGCGGTGAGACTCTTCCAACTCTGGGGTGGGGGTGGGGCAGCCAGTGAGCTGGTTTGTTTTTGTGGACTCACATATAATTTGGTATCCCAGAAAAGACATATGAATTAGCTGGGGAGAGGTCAGGGCTGCTACATGACAGGGGGACAGTGAGAGGGACAGGAAAGCTTAAAGGAAGATGTGGCTTATGTCGCAGCCCCTGCCTCTGGAAATCTGCTAGGGGAGGGCCACAGGGACAGGAGGTCGGGATGGATGTTCCTTAAGACAACAGTCTCACACAGACATGGGGCCACCCAGCAAGAGACAGGCTGAAAAGGACAAGACAACATCTGACACAGGCAAGTTCAGCTCTAAGGACAACCAAAACAAGAAGAACAGACGTGGGCATCTGGGACATGCTGGACAGATGGTGGTGCCTGGAACAGGCCAGAAAAGATGTGAACACATATGGGACAGGAGGGAACAAGATGGGGGGGTGGTGTCAAGTTCAGACTGGGACGGTTGGGGGTCACCTGGGGCGGTACTGGCCAGGAGAGATGTAGGATGCCTGGAATAGCCTGTGGTAGACAGGGAATGACTGGGAATAGGCTAGAATTGGCAGGTCTGGGCCAGGATGGTCTCAGGAAGGCATGGTGTTGCTTGGGAGTGGACAGGATGAGATAAGGGAGCACCCAGGACAGGCCGGGACAGCTGTGGGGATGTTTGGAAGAAACACAGATAGGGTTCCTGAGGGTAACATGGACTGGAAAGTCTGGGCCTGCTCTGGGGATGTCTGAGGCAAGCCCAGCAGCTGGTGGGGGGCAGAGGGGAGGAGAGGCTCAGGTCAGGCTATGTGGGAGAGGGGCCTCAGGCAGGAATGGGGGCGTGTGGATGACAGCAGGGGTGCTGACCTTCCAGTGCACTGGTGAGGACGCTGACTGCGCTGAGGGCCCGCTGTCGCTCTCCTGGCTCCTCGAAGCCATCCACACATGGAGCCTGTGGGGTCAGCATCTGGGGCCTGCCTGGCTCCTCCGACGGTGTGGTCTGGGTGCAACCAGGAGATATGCATGAGGGCACAGGGGTCCTGTTGAACCTGGGGCAGCTGTTGGGCCTGGGACAGAGGTCCCAGACTCAGGTTGGGAAGACCCACGGGGAGATAGGATGCGGGTCTTGACAGGGCCCAGATGCTGGGTTTCTCGGTTCCCAACTCCCCCCCTGTTAGTAACATCCCCCATCCCTCTTGCCAATCATTTTCTCCATCCTCCTTTCTTCAACATCTCTTGTCAGTGGTAATTCTTGAGTGTGGACAGGAAACTACATGTACCAAGTTCTATCAACCAGATGCTGTCAGTATACATTAGTACATGTAAAAACAATCTGGGAGTCTTAATTGACCACAAGCTCCCTAGAGTCGACAGCATAAAGAAACATAAGGGAAAAAAATCTACCCGGCTCTACGGTGACATTAATAGAAGCATAAAGCACAATGCTTAGACATGGCTAGTGGGAGCATCTGTGGAGGCAGTTTGGCTCTATCTACCAAGAAAATGTTAAATTGGCTCTGCAATTCCTCATCTAGCAATCTAACTTCATAAATAATTATACACGTGCACCAAAAATACATATGCAATGATGCTCATTATTGCAGTGTTGTTCCTAATACCGTAAAGACAAGACCAATCAATAGAATACTAAAATCAATTATGGATACAATCTGACCCTGGTCCCTGATACAGTCAGTAAAGAGTGAGAGGCAGTTCCTTGTGCGTTCCCATGGGAGCACCTCACAGACAAACAGTTTGATGAAAAAAAAAAAAAACAAAAAGATCAAGAAGATACACACGGAATCATTAAAGTGAGTATATCTGGGGAATGGGATTGTGGGGCGAGGTCTTCTTTTACTCATACACTCCTGTACCATGGGATTTTTTTGTCCATGTGCTGGCATCATTTTTGTAAGCAAAAGAGCCAGATCTGCAGACAGAGATGTGGTGTGCCCGACAGAGGGAGATGGCAGTAGGAATTCTCGAAGCTTACTCAGAGCCCCGCCTCCCAGGACGTGTTAGCAGGGTCCTATGTGACCACAGTGCAAGAGCCTGAGCTGGGGCTGTGCAAGGCATAGGGCTGTTCAGCATGCAAGCATAAGGCTCTAGAATCTCTGTTGATCAGAAGGAAGAGGGGCCTAGGCTACCCAGGGCAACAGAGTCAGGGCCAGGGGTGGTCATCAAAGTGATCTGAGCTCAAGCTAAAGTCAACCTTTGCAACTGGTGGGACTGCCCTAAAATGATGCCTAGCGAGGGAGTGAGCTCCTGGTCACAGAAGTATGCAAGCAGAGGCACCTGAGAGGGCTGATGGGGCTGCCAGTAACAGTAGTACCTGAAGTCCGAGGCAACCACAAACCTGGCCAGCTTAACTCACAAATGTGTCTTAACTTTGCCGGCTTCTCTTCTCTTCCTCAACTACCTGTGATAGTCTGAGTTAGCACTTTAGCAAATGTTTACTCATTCGTCTCCCACTGTGGGGGATGCACCCTTCCCTGTCCCACAAATGACACACTGGCCCTGGCCACTGGAATGTGAGTGGACATGATGTGAACAACAGCTCCTTCGGTCTATGAAAATAGTTTCCTCAGGTAGCTGCCTCCTGTCCAGCCTGAGCCTCAGCACAGAGACACATGGAACAGCCCTGAGCCTGACCCACAGTGTGGAGCCAAGCCAGGGTGCAGCCTGAAACAGAGCTGCCCAGCCAGGCCCCACCTAGAGCAGCCAAGCCATGGTTATCCTGATGATAAGTCAGCACGAGAATAAAGGCTTACTGTTAGCCACTGATCTTGGGGGTAGTTTGTTACACAGCATTACGTAGCAACCACTGACTGATACATCACCATAGCACAAGCTATTATCTCTTCTCCCTTCTCTACACAGTAGAAAGGGGCTCACCCCCCTTTTTTAAAAAAATATTTTATTTATTTTTATTTATTCATGAGAGACACAGAGAGAGGCAGAGACACAGGCAGAGGGAGAAGCAGGCTCCATGCAGGGAGTCCAATGTAGGACTCGATCCCAGGACTCCGGGAACATGCCCTGAACCAAAGGCAGACGCTCAACCACTGAGCCACCCAGGTGCCCTCCGAAAGGGGTTCCCTTAAAAGGTAAATCAGGTCATGATAATCCTCTCCTCCCCTCACCCCATGCTTTCCATCTTACTCAGACTAAATTCAAACTCTTCTATTGGCTACAAAGCAGTACAGTCCAAATCCTAACTCATCAACTGTACCCCTTCTTGCTGTTTCCATCACACCTGACCCTGTCTGGCTCCCTCATGCCTCGAACACGTCAAGCCTCCTGTTCTTCTGGGCTGTTGTACTTGCTGTTCCCTCTGTCTACAACACGCTTCTTCCACATCTTTGTGGCTGGCTTCCTAAAATCATCTGCTTGTCCATTTTAATGTCGTCTCCAGAGGCAGGACTTCCTGAGTATTCTAAGAGCCATCCCCAACCCTCACCCTAGCAGCATGCTGTCTCATGACCCTTATTGCTAACCTGGAAATATCGACCAGTTTGCCATCTGTCTTCCTGACTACAGAGTAAACTCTGCGAGGTCAGAGCTCTTGACTGCTCTGCTCACCACTATATCCCTGGAGCCTCCAACTCAATGCAGCAGGCTGGCACTGGGCAAATGTTGGTTACGTGGATAATTGCTCAGAAATCAGAAGGCGTGGGTTAAGTTCTAGGCCTGCGTCTAACTTGCTTAATGACCAGAGGATAGGTGGACGCTAGTCTAACATGTGGAGGAGGAAGAATGGTCATTCCCCACCCCCTCTGGTCTTCTGGGCCAGGCGCTCTCATATAGACGGTGGACAAAGGAAAGCTTCACCCTCTACTCTCTCAACTGGGATAAATTAAATATGAGCTGTCTGTTGGGCTGGCCCTTCTCCTTTCTTGTCTTGGTTGAGCACCCACTATGGGCTCCACACTGTACTCGGCCTTCAGATTGCAAACTGGGCAGACAGGTACCCAGTGGAGGCAGAGAAGGCATTCCCAGGGGCCGAATGCCTGCTAATCTCTTTAACTTTACAATGTCTCCATCTTGGTCTGCTAGGTAATTCCCTTAACTTTGCAAATAAGCCCCTTGGCCTGCTAATCCCTTTGAGGTTACAAATGGGCCCCACAGAAGTGAGAAAGGGTAAAGTCAGAGTTCCTGGTAATGAAGTGTTTGAACTTGCATTCCTCCTGACATGTGCAGCACAATGAGATGATTTTCTCCCTAATGAGATTAGGAAATTCTATTAGTGTTCTGGGCTGCCGACCTGATTCCACAAGGCTAAGCCTCCAGGGCTGGATGAGCAGGGGGGCCCAGGCTACCGGGGTTTGCTGTTTCTGAAAGGCCAGACATCCCACCCTCCAGGTGAGGGCTCAGGCCCCTCCAGGCCCGCCCGACACTGTGGTCTGCCCCCAGGTGCTCCCAGGACCATCTCCCTGACTCTGCTCCAGAAGAGTGTGAGGGCCCTGGGCACACTGCAGTGTGCCCCAGGAGTCTTTACTCCTCCTGCCTCAATAATAGAGCTAACAGATAATAATAGTAATCACTCGAACATGAGGCAAGGACTGGTCTAATCACCGGACATATTTTTAACCCTTTTAGTCCTCAGCAGAAGCTGCTGATGTGGATACAAATTTTATTTACACTTAACCCATGAGGAAATTGAGGCATAGAGCAACTCCTTAACCTGCGCCAAGTCCTGTAGCCAGAGCCAGGGTCTGAGCTGGAGCAGAACAGACCATTTGGCTGTAAGCCATTTCTCTTCAGCCCCACCTCCACCTTCCTGATCAAGGCTCCCTGTCTTGTCCTAGCTTCCTCAGAAAGTCTCCCCTCCTGTGTCTCCTGCAGGTTCTGGGGTATAAGCCACACCTTTGCCCTTTCTCCAGGTGGGTGGCCCTGGGGGTAATGTTAGGGGCAGCAGTCAGCAAGGACACTCCAGGGCTGCTGGGCAGTCATGTCTGTCATGGGCTCAGTTGACTGAGTGATCAGAGCTCTGGTTGGCCTTTCATGCTCTGGTCCATCCCTCTGCTACCTTTTTTTTTTTAAAGGATTTTATTCATCTATTCATGACAGAGAGAGAGAGAGAGAGAGAGAGAGAGAGAGAGAGAAAGAGAGACAGAGACAGAGAGAGAGAGAGAGAGAGAGATAAAGAGGCAGAGATACAGGCAGAGGGAGAAGCAGGCTCCATGCAAGGAGCCTGACTCAGGACTTGATCTCGGGTCTCCAGGATCAGGCCCTGGGCTGAAGGCGGTGCTAAACCGCTGAGCCACCTGGGCTGCCCCCTCTGCTACCTTTTTGATGGTAACTCCAACTCCTTTTGACTTTGTTCTCTGAGTTCCGGGCATTCTGACCTCATGGCATTTCCTTCAATATGCTGGGCACATTCCTGCCTCAGGGCCTTTGCACTGGCTGCTCTCTAGGCCTGGAACATGCTTCCCTCAGATGATATAATGATGGTATATTATTATAACATTATCACAGCATCAACATACTCATAACATCCTGATTGCTGGACCCATATGAGACCATTCATCCTCACAACAATCTGAGATGGGTGTTTTCAATTCATTTTACAGATGATAGGCACAAACAGAAAGAAACTTGCCCATGGCCATCCAGCTGGTAAGCTATGAGCTAGAATTCAAACTCAGTTTGTGTCTGGAATCTGGGTGTTCAATCATCCCCCAGAGTTTCAGAAAGCAGCCTGGCTCCCACCCCTGCCTCTGGTTGGTCTTCGTTTCAATGCCTCCTAAGGAGTACGGGATCCCGCTCCCCCATGCTTACTTTTGCCCTCCCACAGCACTTACTACTTGGGCTAATGTTTACCAGTTTGTAAAGTACTGAAGTATTTAAGGCTTGATGAATAATTGTTGCTCAGAACCCTGTGAGTATCCCCTTGCCACTCTGGTCCCTTTCCCAGAACCCCCTGCTCTGCCCAGGATCCAGCAACCCTATGGGTTAACACCTGACACACACAGGGCCTTCAGGACTCCGGTCCTGTGCCACCATGGCATCTCGGTGCCAGGGCTTTATTGGTTACTAAATATTTAACTGTTAGTCCTATCACTCAATGTTATACACCATATACACATATATGTCTATTTTTCTTTTTTCTTTTTCTTTTTTTTTTTTTTTTTGCCTGCCTGCCCCCATTAGCATGGAAGCTCTATGAGGGCAGAAATTTTTTTGCCACGCATATTCATCCAGAGTCCAGCATACATCAGGTACTCAGTAAATACTAAGTGAATCTGGGAGACCAGATCTGCCCTGGGGCTGCATCACGGGGCTGCCTCACCGTGTCTGGGGGGCGATCCAGTATCACAGGACGGAGGAGGTGGCTCCCTGGGGAGGTGGCCTCCAGATCACCTGCCCCCAGCAAGGAGACCACCCCGTTGCAGTCCACGGTGCTGTTCCTTTTACCATTGAGGGCGGGAGCCGAGATCCCTGGACTGAGCTGTCCCTGGGCACTAGGCTGGCGCAGAGGCCAGGGCACCAGCAGGGACGTGCGGTGGCTCTCGCTGTCTCCCGCTGTACTGTTTTCATCATCTGCAAAATCTGTCTCCGAGCCCAGGTCTCGCCTGCGAAAGGTGAAGATGCTCCCACGGCTGGAGCGTGGCTTCACGGAGGTCCTGCTGAGGCCATGTGTGCTGCTCAGGCGATTCTGGGGATACAGGGAGAAGGCACACCACCAAGCCAGCTCTTTATGTGCTCCCAGCCTATCCCCTGTGATGTTCTCAGAGACTGAGAGGTTGTCTCAGAGCAATGAGAGTTTTTTTGTTGTTGTTGTTTTGTTTTTTTAAAGCAGGCTCTGTGCCCAGCAGGGCTTGAACTCATGACCCTGAGATCTAGACCTGAGCTGAGATCAAGAGTTGGATACTTAACTGATGGAGCCACCCAGGCTTCTGCTGGCCACTCGGGAACTGGGGGTGCTGAGCCAGGGTGTGTTCAGAGGAGGAGGTATAGAGGGGATATAGTTGGTCCTGCATCATCTGGGATCTCTGCTCACTTAAAGCTTGTGCCTTTGGGGCTTTGAGATCCAAGTTTACCTGGGCCTGAAGCTGTGGCTGTGGCTGGGCAGGAGATGAAGGAGGCACGAAAGCTTCTGGTGGTGCAAACAGGCCTGGCCTGAGCAGGACCTGGGGCCATCAGCCATGTACTTGACTCAAATGGGTATGTCTTTGGGTGCCTACCAATCTACACCACAGGGTAACCTCTGGTTCTAGCCCCAGCCCCAATGCTGCCCAGCCACAGGTCTGCCCAAACCTCCTCCACTCCAAGAATGGTCATGGGAAACACGGAGGGCTGGAAGGGGGCTCAAGGATAGTCTCCTTGGGGAGCAACCACGGGGGGCTGCACCAGGGGCCCAACTAATGGGCTTTTGATGCCAGACCCACACTGAAAGGGTCAGAGCCACGGCCGGGGATTACCATTGTTCTGGGACCATCCTCTGAGTCGGACTTGGGGAACCTGTCATCCCCACACTCCTCTGTCCCCGAAGACATTCGTTTTCTCCTCTTGCTTCTTCTCTCATGGGTGGTTACTGGGGCCAAAGGGGACATCTCCAAGGAGCTGCGGGACACAGTGTCCACACCCCTGATGGTGAGGGCCTGGAAAAGGTGGAAGAGGGGTGTTTTGGTTATTGAGACTTTGTGCAGCCTCAGGCTAAGGCAGGCCAAGCAACTCTCAGTATCTCCATTTCCCCATCAGGAAGTAGACTTGCACACTTAACCCCAGACCAGAGTATCGTGGAGAGATGAGCTCAAACAGACCCAGCATGTTTTGAAAAGAATCAAAGTCCAGGGAAGAGGAGAGAAGTGGCTGATGTGGGCAGCTCTAGGAAGAGGGGAGTGTGAGGGACAGTTGAGGTGGGAGGATGTTGGTGAGCAGAGGAAGCAACAGAATTAGAGGGCAGGACATCTTCTAGAAGGTTCAGTTGGCCAAAACTGGTGATGGGGGAGGTAGCGTGGGGCAATGAGAAGAAAGTGAATGCCTACATGGCTTCTAATAGCTTGGTCTGTAGTTAGCCTGCAGTACCTGTGTGTGGAGCGATGGGTAACCAGGGCAGCACTGCCAGGGCTTATTTTCCGAGCTGGGTCAGGCCTCCAACCTTGGACCTTCCTCACCAAGCTTCCAGAAGACATCCCTTGACTAGGGTAAACTCAGTCCATGGACATGTGGTTCTCTTTTATCCAGCATGCATTAGGTTCCTTTACACAGGAGCTACCACCTTTACCTAGCAGCCACCATTTTTACCCAGCTGGCACTGTTTTCTCTGAGAAGACACCATGGTCATAGGGAACACTTTCCTCAGTAGGCACCACACTCACAGCACCCACTTGCACCCAGTGAGACTTTTACCTACTAGGTGCCTCATGAACAGGCACTGTCCTTAACCAGGTACCAAATTTTCACCTAGCAGACACTACATTCACATGAAATACTTTAACCCAGTGGACGCCAGCATCGCTCAACAGTAACTGTCTTTTATCCAGTAGATGCCACACTTGAAGGCACCAGCTTTTCCCAGCATGCATCACATCCGCAGACACCTGCTTTACCCGGAATGCATCATACCCACAGACACCTGCTCTACCTGGCATGCATCACATCTGCAGACACTAGCTTTACCCAGCATGCACCATGCTTATAGGCACCAGCTTTATTCAGCAGGCACCATGCCCACAGGCACCAGGTTTGCCTAGCAAGTAGAAGGTTAATAGGTATCAACTGTACCCAGCAGGACCTGCCTTTTATCTATAGATGCCACACTTACAGATAGCAGCTTTACCCAGCAGGCACCAGCTTTACCCAGCATGTACCAGGTTTGTAGGCACCAGCGTTACGAAGCAGGTGTCATCCCCATAGGCACCAGCTTTGCCCAGCAGGCACCAGGTTCATAGGCACCCAGAATCAGGTGAGGACTTGCTTTGGAGGCTCCTTGGCTGCATGCTCACTCACCTCATGCTCTTTCTTGAGCATCTCCATGGCCTCCTGGAAGCGCTTTTCCTTCTCCTCTGTCTCAGCAATGGTGGCTTGGTTTTGTTCCTCGTAGGCCATGGCAACCACAGCCAGGATCAGGTTCACCAGGTAGAAGGAGCCCAGGAAGATGACAAGCATGAAGAAGATCATATAGATCTTCCCTGCAGACCTCAGGGTCTGGGGGAGTAAGGCAACAGAGGTTATCTTCACTGGGGCCCTTTCTGGGTCATGGTCATGGTCTTAGAATTTCAAGTTGTCCAGTCAGGCTACGCCAAGAATTCAAATGGCCACAGCTTGGGGAGGAGTAGAGCATATCCTGCCTATAGAGGTAAGTATTCTAACCCATAGAGAAGAATGACCTACATGCAGAGGATAGTGTCCCATCCATGGAGGGAGGCAGAATGTTCCAGTCAACAGAGTAAATGTTGCATGCATAGAGGCAACTATTCCATCATATAGGGCAGAGAAATGTCCTACTCACAGAGCACAGTGAGCCCCATACAGAGGGAAGGGTACCTGGTTACCAGCAAGAAGTTTCTTTGCTTGCTGTGTCCCCATTCCTCAGATGCAAGGGTTCCTGTCCCTTATTCCTTGAGCCTCCCCAGCTCTTGCCAGTGGAGAAGCTGCTGGGGCCTCTAGCTAATCACCTGTGCATCCTGGTCCCTAGTCAGTTCCTGGTGTTCCTCCCGCCCATGCACCCATGTACCTGCTGGTAGAGGCGCTCCCAGCAGTCCTGTGTCATTAGGCGGAAGAGCGCAAGGAAGGCCCAGGCAAAGGAGTCAAAGCTGGTGTAGCCGTGGTCAGGGTTCTCCCCTGCCTTTAGGCACCGGTAACCCTCGGGACATGTCCTGCAGTCAGACACACAGACTCTGTCCCCTGCCGTGAAGGGCCCACCCCCTAAGATGCTCCCTGGGCCTGACTCATCTCCCTGGGCGGCCCAACAGGTGCCCCACTGCTTCATGAGGCTGACTTTCACAAACTTAGTGCCACACGGTTGGTCCTGCTGCCGTGACTTTCCACGCTGTGCCTCCGGCCTGGAACATGGGTTTCACCTTGTCTCTCCCCATCTGTATCAGCTAGGCCTGAATCCAGCTCCCTTCTGCCCACATGATACACCATCCCCGCTGTGACATGAGTCGCCTCTCCCCTCACAGAGGAAGTGCCAAAGGCCTGGCTCACAGTGATTTCCTCTGGCTGCTTACCCCACAGGGAGATGGGCACAGAGTAGGCATGCAGTGGGGGGTGGGGGGGAGGGCAGTGAGGCTTGGCTGAATAGCATGAGGCTGAACAGCACGGAGCCTGGGGCAAATGCCAGCCTGTGGGGCGGATGGATGGACAGGCTGTGATTCTGGGGTGGACAGGCTGGGGTCTGGCCACACCTGGAGGATGTGCCCCTTTATGTGACCACGCACACAGGCATAGTGAGGGGGACTGATGACTCACAGAGCTGGATGGGATAGCCTCTCTCCCAAAGAGAGACTGCTGGGCTGGATTCACGAGTGGGGGAGATGGAGGGTGGGGGTGGGGTACTCAGCAAGTGGGAGGTGCAGCTTCTGTGCCTTGTTAATGTCCTAAGACCTTCCAGACAAATCTCTTTGGCTACAGGAAGGGCTGGAATTTCATACTGAGAGATGTGGGACTGCAGCCCCACAGAGTACCAGGGGACTCCCTCCTCCCCTGCCACCCTCACCTCACCTCACCTCACCCCTACCCGGTGAGGTGGCCCTGGGGGCTGGGCACCACATACCCGGCATCAGAACTGTTCCCACACAGTAACACATCGGAGGTGCCATTCTTCAGCAAGTAGTTTCCTGAAAGGGGAATGACCGATGCTGAAGAGCATGTGTGGCCCAGACTCCTGGGGTTCCCACTTTGTGCCCAGGACTCTGGTGGGGGTAGACACCTGAGGAACAACACCAGTTGCTTCCCTGGCCTGCCTCCTGCTCCCCCCTAGATGTTCAGCTGCCAGTGTCCCCCACACTCACAAAAGACTCAGGGAGTCCCCATAGGGAGCTTCTGTCCCCTGCCCCGAGGAGGACTCAGGAGGATAGCTGGGGTGAAGAGAGGCCCTGACCCAGGAGGCAGGGGTCTGGGCAGAGGCCCAGCTCAGCTACTGAGTCACTGCCTGGTCTCGGCAGGCTACCGCCCGGCTCCATCTGCACCACTTCTCTGTGCCTAAGGTGGTACAAGTGATACCTGCTACTGTCACCATGGCGTGATGCTGCTGCAGTATGTTCAGACGGGGCTGGGGCTGCGCCAGATGCCATATGGGACACATAGTCCTGTCCTCTCCTCCGGCCAGCGGTCAGGCCCCATTACTTAACACTACTCGCCTTAGTTTTAGGCAGCAGTTCTCAAACTGTGGTCCCCACCCCGCGAGAGCAGACAACTGGGACCTGGTTAGAAATGTAACCTCCTGAGTACCACCCCAGATCTGCTGACTTGGGAACTCTGGCCGTGCTGCCCAGCCACAGTATGTGCTTCCTGGAGCCCTGCTGGTACACATGAAAGTTTTGGAACCGCTGCTGTTTGGCCACAGCTGAGCCATAAGCAAATTGAGTCATTGAGCTTCAGTCCGTTTCTTTTTCCAAAGCGGACTGCTGGTGTAGCGAAGAGGCCCTAACTTCAGAATGTCCCTTGGGGCCTTCAATCTGCACTTGCACCAGTGTCTACCTTTGAACCAGACTGATGGTCTTGGTTAAGAGAGGTGCTGGCCATTGGCCTGGAACATTGAAAGCCACGTATCACTGAAATGGCAGGAGGGGCTCATGTGACTTTGTACAATCTCCCGGCTTGTTCCAACCCTCTCTTGAGGTTCTGTGGGGCACATGTATGGAATTAACGTCTTGGCAAGGAATTCTGAAGTTGGCTGAGACATCCCATGCCAAGCAGGTGGGACCTCCACTCTAAAGGCTCACAAACTACCCCAGCTCCATGTCCCACCCTTTCTCTGGCTAATGCTCCTCTCTGGATAGGTAGGCCAGTCTTCTTTCCCTTCTCAATTCTCTGGGGTCAGTCCCCCCTTCACCCTCAGCACCTGCTGTCCCTCGTCAGCCTCTCCAGCTAACTTCCTCCTTCCTGCTCTTCAAGTGTCTGGTCATCGAGTCCAAGAACTCACGAGGGCAGGCCCAAAGTCCTCACCCCTCCTGTCCTCTCCTGGAGTTCCAAAGGGCAGGGGCTGGGATCCCGGAGCATACCTTGGGGTTTCTGGGGGACCAAGTACAGCTTGACCAGCCATGGGGGAAGGTCTACCCTCTGGTAAGGCCTGTGTGGCCTCACAAAGCCCGACCCGGGCCCGCAGAGTAAGCCTGCACCTGAGTCGCTGAGGTAGTGGTCCAGTGACTCCCAGACCAGGCCATCAGCCTCCACAGAGCCGTTGGTGTCGTTGAGCGCCGTGAAGTTGCGGACACACTTGTGTCTCAGGTTACCCATAAAGAGCTGCAGGCCGATGAGGGCAAAGACACTGAGACAGAAGACGGTGAGGACCATCACGTCGGCCAGCTTCTTCACAGACTGGATCAGAGCCCCCACGATGGTCTTCAGACCTGGGGAAGGCAAGAATGAGCAGGGGTGTCACCCACAGGCTCTGTGCTCCTCATTCCACTGGGTGGGGGGCCAGGCCTGAGGGGGTGCTGGGCCAGATGGGCAATCATGAAGCAGGGGCAAGAGAAGGAGGCCTCCATTTCCTCTGCTACTGAGATTCTGTCCTGCCCCACCCCCCCACCAGGGTGGAAGTCCAGTCTGGCCATGTATTTTCAGGAGGACCCAGTCCTCTTTGCTCTCCACTAGCCACATATATTAAATGGTTGTGGGAAATGCTGGTTTCTTGAGGAAAAAAAACACTCAAAGTCTGTCCCCATCCGGCTGGTCCCTAGGTATACCTTTAAATATAATCTGCAGAAGGGACACAGGTCCAGGCCCATTCCAGGGCAATGGACAGGGCCGTGATCCTTGAGATGGAGAGGCACAGGTCATTCTTGGTAGAGGAATGGGGTGTGTGCTTGGGTGATGGGGGGCTATCAGGAGGCCTGGCAAGGTCATGGTGGGTAATGTCCTAAGGGGTTTGTTCTGGCTAGGATCCCACCTTTGGGAAGGCTTCAAGGGCAGGGGAGGGGTTGACTTACTTTGCATTTTCCTCCTCTGCCCTGTCCTTCCAGGACCCATCCCCTTCCATCCCATTCCCCAAAGCCAAGAGGCCGTGATGTGTTAGTTGCATGGCCCAGCTCCCTGCAGAAGCCAGCACCACACAGCAAAGTGACAGAAAAGCATGTGTAGACACCTTTGGTCTGACACCGAACTATTGTCCTATGACAAGTTCGAGCAGAGCATCGGGAGCGAGGGGGCTTCTCTGCCAGCAGCAGAGCCCGGCCTCTTGCCCCCACTCCCCAGCCCCCAGGCTCAAAGCGGCCAGATCTCAGATTAAGCTCCATCCATCCATCCATCCATCGTCCAGCTGGTTAATGTGTTAGGAGCACCTGTGGTGGCCGTGCCCACAGCTGCCATGCCCATGACCTCAAGACAGGGAGGCAGCGATGGGCAAACATGGGAGCAGGGGAGGAAGTCCTCCCACTGTGCCACTAGCGCTGCTCCCTGCCCACAGCTCAGAGGCACTCAGCGTGCTCTGTGGAAATTGTCCTGACAGATGTTGGCAACTGCCCCAGGCAGGTGTGGGCCTTGCAGGGAATGGGCCTGGAGTGGTGGTGGTAGTAGGATTCCCATTTGGTAGCCCAGCACACCTCAGCTCTAGCAGAGCTTCTAGGACCCCTCAGAGAGCACACTCCGGTTCTGCTTACCGGGCCTGGAGACCCTGCCCATAATGTATGTGGCAGGGAGCCCAGGGCAGGAGGTGATGGGCAGCATACACTGCCTCAACTGTTAGTCTAAAGGATCTTTGGACTAGAGCATCCAGTTCAAGGCCCAGCAAAGCACCTCCTGGTCTGTGGACATAGCATCCAGCGGGGGGAAATAAGCTGGTGAGCATAGATCCAGTCCTTTAAATATTTCTCATATTGATGACAGAGTTCACTTCTGACAAGAATGAGTCCAATGAAGTAACAGGATTCTTTCTGAAAATACCCAAGAAGGGAAAGGTCCCTGGCATCAACTGGGACACTCTCCTGCCACTGAAGGTCTAACAAGCTGGCCAAAGAGCCCTTGGAAACCAACCCCTCTGATTTCATTTCCATCTTGCGGGAGAGGAGACTGAGGTCTGGAGAAGGCCGAGGCTCTCTGAGCCTCAGCCCAGGGGACACCTCCTCCAGAGAGATTTCCATAATGCCGACCACAGCATTGTTCTAATGACCACTTTCAGGGTCTGTTTTTTGCTTTCTCACTGGGTTGCTGGCAGCTTTGAAGAGGTCCAATGTGCCCGGGCTTAGGTTGGCAGGCTTCCTGCATTACTCCAGGACTGAGAGATATTTCCCTTTGCTAGCCTTTCTTACAAAACAGACTGGAACATGCCTTTTCTCAACTGCTATGGCCAGTGTGCTTCTCTAATCTTGTGGGTGTATGATGTGAGGTTGTCCCCGGGATCCTAGAGGACAGACCCTGAGCTTCTAAGCATGTATGTGTGCACCCAGGCCAATGACGACACTCGTCTCCATGGAGGTGACTGTGCACTGTGGGCACGGTGCCCACTTGCTACTGGCTCTTAGTGGGGGGTCTGGGCCACTGGAGAGCATGGGGACAAGTGGCCCTGTGCACATCCTATGGGGTTCAGAGGTCAGGAGGAACAGTCTGAGGCTCAGCTTGAACGTAGCATAAGGGGGGGTGTAGTCTTATTAGATAATTAACACCACCAAGGGAGAGTCTGAACACCTCCAAGGAGCTCAGAGCAGGGCCCATGCCTTCCCCGGGCAGCAAGAGCTACATGGAGATCAAGGGGCCAGGACCTAGGGCTTTCCAAATCAGGAATGGATGCCACCATCTGCTTTAGTTAATTCTTCCCTCAGCTCTGACACCTCCTCAGATCTGTGGCATACAACCTGTCTCCAGCTGCCTTCTTAAAAGAAGTGCCATCTCCAATTCTGAGTGTGGCTGCATTCAGAAAAAGGCCCTGGAAGAAACTTCTGGGCACTGCCCTGTGGGCCATGAAATCATCATAAGCCTTTTGAGAACTTTTCTGGATGGATGGGGTAGACCGGCTTTCTAGAGAGGCCATCCGGGCTTAGAATTCCCGGGTGCAATTGCCAACATCTGTCAAGGAGAATTGCTTCCTGAGGCTACCATGCACGGTTTGCTATACCTCTACCGCACCATGCAGCGAGGGCTGGTAGACGCCAAGGCCCGATGACACCTGTCCGCAGAATACACTCTGTTTCACAAAAGGAGGCGGTGGCGGTGGCGGCTGTGCCTTTGTCACCAAGAGGGGACACAATGCAGGGACTAGGCATTCAGCCCTGAGTTTTCCCTTTTTATTGTGTGTGTGTGTCTGTGTGTGCGCGCGCGCGTGTGGTTTGCTTCAAACCCAGTTCTTTGGTTTCCTTATTGGAGGATGATGCTTCTGGCTGAAGCAATCCACACGCAAGCTTTTCGCTATTCAAAGCACTGAGCTCAGTTTGGGAAGGACATCATTATCTTGGGAAGAATCTGGGTTCGATACAGGCCCTGCCATGGGAGCCATGTGCCCCCCCAGCCACTGTGAGGGCGGGCTTTGCTTGGGGGGGGGCATCCCGAATCATCTCGGGAAGCTCTGAGGGGCCAGCCACGTCCGCCACCGCCGCCGGATCCCCGCCACCAAGCTCTGGGGAAGGTATTCTGGTGACAGGCACATTCGGAGGGGCCTTCCCCAGGGTCGCCTCAGGCCCGGGGGGCTGGGAAGGCCTGCGTGTGTCCCTCCAGCCTTGGCGTTTAACCTGATTTTCACCTGAAATGACTGATATAGTTTTCAGGGCCCGGAGGACTCGGAAGGTACGTAAGGCTGACACATTGCCCAGGTCCACAAATTCTGTTGTGTATCTGTAACAGGGGAAAGTCACACACGGGACAGTGACGACACGCCAGCAGGAGACACACGGTGGGGGAGGGGAGGAGGGGAGACAGAGAGAGAGTCACTTGTAGCTGAGATCCGAGAGGCGAGTCCGGGCATCTTACCTGGGATAACCGAAATAGTTTTTAGAGCTCTCAGGACCCTGAAAGTTCGAAGAGCCGACAAATTGCCTAGTTTTATATTTTCTGATACATACCTGCAGAATCAAACCACAGTTATTGGGAATCGTAAAGGAGCACCTTGGCCTGCCCGCCCCGCCCCCTCCCCCTCCCCCTCTCCCTCGGGCAGGGGCTGCTGCGGATGCCCAGGCCTCCCGGGTGTCTGCTTCCTCCTCTCCACCCTCCTGACACCAGGCCCTTGTGAGATGACCTAGGGACGTCTACACAGGAGGCCTCCACACGGGAGGCGGCTCTCTTGGTGACGGTCCTGCGAATAACCGGTGCTCTGCCTTCTTGTCTATGCCCTGCGGGATGGTGACATGAAACCACACGGCGGGGACTATGGCTGGAGACACAGCAAGGTGAATAGGGAAATGGTCTTCCAAGATGTCAGGCTGGGTGACAGTGATGCCGAGGCGGGGTTCCGGTCCTAGCTTTGCTCTGTATCATCCATCAGTCGTCTGCGATCAGCTTGTGCCCAGCTACCCCAACTACCCCAATCTGTGGAGCCTTAAGGCCTGGTTGAGACCATCACGGAGGCATAGCTGGGTCTCTGGGGGCCCAGTCCCCCTCAGTCTCATCCCAAGACCTCCAGAGACCCCCAAGGATGGCCTTGAGTCTTCACAAGAGGAGTGACCTCAGGAGGGAGGTCTCAGCAGGGTTGAGTGGGAGAGACGTTCCATCCTACAAAACGGACAGTCATCCGCCTGTGGTCTTCACAGGCACAGGAGGAAGGCGTCGGATTCTGGGGGGCAGGCTGCCGCCTGAGCAGAGTGTGAGGACATGCATGAATGGGCCATGTGACCAGAATGTCTAAGAGCTGGGTGGACGGTGTGTGACCAGGACCATCGGGACAGTGGCAAGTGACTTGTGATATTTAACCAAAGATTTCACATCCAGGATGTCTGACATTTAAGCGAAGGCGTCTGATGTTTAACAAAGGACAGTGGACTCAGGATGTCTGATTTTTTAACCAAGTGTGTCTGACCTGGTCTCTGAGTGACATCAGACCCAGGATGGCAAACCAGCGGGGCTGGGTAAGTGTCATGGGTGGGTGGATAGTGCAGCCGGACTCACTCTGCCAGTCAGTCTGGACCCCCAGGCCCTTCTACTTTGCTCAGAGCTTCTGAATCTGCTTTTAAGCTGTGGGTCCCGCAGGGAAGAACTTGTAGGCTATGTCAAGGGACTCAATGTCCTGGAGGGAGCTGGGTCCTGCCTGGTCCGGCTCTGACACTGGGCTGACACCAACTTCCTCTATGTCCACTCATAGGGCCCTTCCATCTTCATGGGGCCCTGTGGTCCATGCCTGCTCCCTCCTCACTCGCCACATCCCTTCAGAGATGAGAAATTAGCAGACACATCCTCAGAACTTTTCTTCTGGCTACACCAGATTCTTTTTGTGTGATTTCCATTCCTTCCTCTGGACTCACTTCAGCTTGTAAACTCCCAATGAAGAGTACAAGTCACCTCCCTTATTCTGGCCCATATACACCTATTAATTTGGTCCAAGCTCCCTCTCTGCTTTTAATGGCTATTCCATTCTCTGTGATGACTCAGATCCTCAAATTTCTGTCCCACATTCTTCTCAGGTTTCACTTTCCATCCTTTATGGTGCTGCCACAAGACTGTCAGGTTTAGCTCAGAACACTGCTGATGTTGCCATCACATGCAAGCTATGGGTCCAGCCTGCTGGTGGCTCTGGGCCCCATTTCCTGCTGCCGGACAAATAAGCATGGCCTGTGACACCAGTCTCTTCTGGTCACAGGGAGTGAGCAGAGCATTGTGCAGATTGGAGGGAACCGGCTGTCCTTCCTTCTCCCCTCTTGTCCCTCACAGACCCTGTCTGCCCCCTCCCATCTCCAGTGAAGTCCTGCATGTCTGCAGCTCGGATCCTGTGTCTCTGCCTGTCCTACTGTAGAACCCGCCTTCCCACACCCCCAGGCTTGCCCTCCATTCATGGTCCGCCTCCTCAGCAGCTGGTGCTAAGCACAGAGAAGCCAAGATCCCAAGTGTGTGCTCGCAGCAGGCTTGTGAGGCTGGCTGAGTGGCTGAGAACAGGAGTGGGGCTGGTGGTAGGGTGTTTGTGAGGTCAGGACACGTGTGGGAGGGCAGTCCTGACAAGTAGGAAGTCTCGAAGGTGAGACACAGGGCTGGGCGAGTGCTCTGCATGTCTGTGCCATGGGGGCTGCTGCCCTTTTTACTTGGTTCAGAACCTTTGGCCTGGCTGCTTCCCATGTGGGGGCCCTAGAGCCCCAGTAAGGCCTTTCTCAGGGCCCTGGGATGTGTCCTAAGAGACCCTGTATCTGGGAAAGGGCCAGCTGCAGCAGGGGCCAGGCTGGGGCTCAAGCTCTGCCCCTGTCAGGCTGGCAAAACGTTCCTCCGAGCCATTCTGCTCCTTCTGCTCTGGCCAAGCTACTGTGTAGGGGCAGACGGCTGGGTTGGCGGATCACAGGCCTGACACAGAAAGAGCAGAGGCCGGTAAGTGAGCCTCATCTAGCACCCCGGCCCGAGGGCAGGGAGAAGCCCCCTTGGAAGCTGAGGAACCCAGAGGCAGGAGATCCCGGCCTTCCTCCTGCTCTGCCCCCATCTTCCTGCGCAGCTCTCCTGCGGCATCACAAGGCCCCTTCTGGGCTGCTGGGCAGGGGTAGAGCCCACCCTCTCCTGGCTGCCTTCCCTCCCTTCCCCTCTAGGTTCAGTTTCCATAACAACCCCTGGAGGTGGGAGGCCGTGCTAACTGGCAGGTAATGCCCAGCCGGGAGGGGCCCCAGGAAGAACTCTGGCGAGAGGGTTGCCTGGCAGGCCTCCTGGCAACCCCGACCCTCCCACCATCTCTACACTGAGTGGGGGGGGGGTCAGGTGGAAACATCAGCCCTGGGGTGCCTCTGGAGCAAGGAGACCTGTTCTAGTTCCGACGCGACTGCTGATTCATTCCCTAATTGTGGGCGAGCCTCAGTTCTCCATCTGTAAAATGGAGGAGGGGGAGTTTCAGTGAATGGACGGTTTCTGCCACCCCAGTCTCCTTCGATGATTCTAGGAGTCCCCTCCCCATTATCGAGCCATTCTGACCATAGCAGGATGCTTTCCACTGCATTACCAGGGCAGCCGTTTTTTTGTCCTAAGGCAGGGCCACCACCAATCAGAGCTGCCAGGCCAACCCAGCCCAGAGCAGAAACTTGATGTTCCAGTGGGTCCATGCAGCCCCAGGGGAAGTGGGTTGCCAGTTTCTGTGAGACACCCAGGACTTGGAAATAGTCTGCTGGCCTCTGAGTCTGTTCTGCTTTGTTACCCCTGGTTCTCGTACAGAGTGAAGGCAGGCAAGCCTTGCTGAGGAAGGCACACCTGCTCTGTGATTCCAAGCGGAAGAAGCGGTTCCCCGTGGGATCCCGTGGGGATTGAGACAGAGATTCTCTCATGGGACAAGACAGCAGGACTCACTGAAGGCCTGAGGTCACACAGAGCATCTCCCAGAGGCATGGGCCGAAGACAGGCCAATCCTGGCTCCTACTATTAGGCAGGGGACCCAGGGCCTGGGGGTATCGCTGCTGTGACACAGTCCTGCTCAGGCTCTGGAATGGGAAGATAGGAAAGACACAGACCCCGGACACGCCTCCCTACTCTGTGGTCTCAGCTGATGATCTTACCACGGAGAAAATTGAAGCAATCAGGAGAGAAATTCTCCTCTCTCATTATCGACTCTACCAACCCACTCGAAATTCTGCCTTCGGTGCTCTTAAGGCCAGTGCTCCACCTGGGCCCGTGATTCCCAGCCCTCAGACCAGCTCAAGGGCTTTGCTCCTGCAACCCGCCCCCTCCATCATCGGGCTTCTCTTCTCTCCTGGATCGTGCCCACCCCCTTACAAAGACACCTCCCGTCTTTAGAAGTGCTCCCCTGCCCATTTTCTCCAGCCCCCAGCATTCTATTTTCAAGGTTTACAGCTAACTCCACAAGCAAAATGTCTATACTTGGCCCCGTCTCCTGAGCCCTATCTCATCAGGCGTATGTCCCCGACCATGTCCGGTCAAGGCCATCAGCGGCATCACGGTCCTCAGGGGTGTCATGTCGTGACTGCCATGGTCGATGCCTTGGATGTCTTCAGCCTCCTCAGGACATCTTTCGAGTGGAGTCACGCTCCTGAGCTGGCTTTCACTTTCAGGACAGTCCTCTGCCTAGGCCTTCCCCCACCCACCATGGCAGTGCCCTCCAGACTCCTCGGCTCACCCCTTCTTTCCTGACCTCGAGATGTTGGAGCATCCCGTGGTACAGTTCCCAGGCGCCGTCCCTTCTCTGGCCGCGCTCACTCTAGATGATTCACTCATCCGGTCTCCTGGCTGCAAGTCTCATCTGCACCCTGATGGCTTCTAAATATATATCTCTACCTCGGACCTCTTTCCTGAACTCCAGACTGGAATATCCAGTTGCCTATTCTGTGTCTCACCCTGGACGCTTTCAAATTTAATGCATTCCAATCTAGACTCTTGATTCCCTCTCTCCTTCCCTCCGCCAGCTCCTCCCTTCATCCTCCATTTTAGTGAATGGTAATGCTGTTCACCCAGCTGTTCGGGCCAAAACCACTTTGGGGTGTCCTATCAGCTCTACCCTCAAAGTACATCCAAAATCTGACTGTGTCCCATAGCTTTTCTACTTAAACTCTCTGAGAGAGATGTCCCGGTCATGTCTCTCCTGGCTACTAAAATAGCCCCCCAGCTGCTGGGTAAACTTATAATACGTAGCTCAGGTCAAGTTACTCCCTGCTCTCAACCACTGGTGGCTCCTGCCACCCTGGCTCTTACCACAGCCTGCCAAGCCACAAGTCTGTCCCCCGCCCCCCCGCCTCCCCCCTCCCCGCATTCTGCCTTTCCTCCCACTACACTCTCCCTTGCTCACTTAGCTCTGGCCAGGCCTATGTCTACACTGGCTTTGGGCAAGTGGCAGCATCTGAGCCTCAGTTTCCCCACCTGTAAAACGGTGGGCTGGAGTCAGCTTACAAGCAGAGCGCCTAGAAACCAGGTCCTGGATGCATCTTCTAACCATCAGGCTCTCCACTTAGCTAGAAAGCACCCCATCAGCACGGTCTGGCTGCCTACTCTCCCTTCTCTTCCCCCCGCAAGGCTGAGCTCACAGCAGGGCTGCTCATGTCTGGGGTGAGGCAGATCTTGTCACAAACAGGTAGATTTAGTGAATCCGAGAATTCTAGAAAGTGAGAACTGAACCAAACCTCTGATACCACCTAGGCCAACACTGTCCTTCCACAAAGTTGCTCTGCATGGGCAGGGAGTGTTGCCCTCACCAGCTCTGCTCCCTGCCAATGTGTGGTGCCCAGCCCTGCACACACATCAGGCTTTCCGAAAGGGTTTGATGGCTAAGCCCTGGCCACAGCTCCTGCACTGGAGGCCCACCCTGATCAGTCATCCCTGTCAGAACACAGCACAGCACCCATTGCTGACACATCTTGAGGGGAATGCCTCCACCCAGCCTCAGTGAGGGTCTCTTTTTAGACAAGAAAGTGGGGCCCCAGCCTGCATGGCAGCAGGCAGGGGTATTCACATTCACATTCACTCTCTGGCAGGCTCCTTGGGTGTCCTTGGCATCTGTTTTGTCATCTGTAAAATGAGGACAAGGAATCCCCATCCAAGATACCTCTCTGGCTGGTGTGACGACCCACTGGATCATGTCAGTGACTGGGTGCCTTAGAATGTGCCAAAAGTGGAGTGAGTGGAGGCAGCAGATGTGCTGGTGTGCCTGGCATGGGCTCCTAGGGTTGCCCGGTCTTTTCCACACTCCTTCTCTTTTCTGTTGATTCATTCTTAATCACCTTGGAACCCAGGTCATTGTTCATAGTGGTCCAGAGGTTTTGGATTGTAACATTGGTTTCCTCCTTAGAAAGGACAGAGGATGCTAAGCCAGAATCGTAATGATGTCTGCGGAGCACAGGGCTGTCATGGAGCCACAGATGAGCCAGCGGGCCTGACCTCCACAGCCCACCATGTGAGCTGGGGCCCCCATCCTGTCTCCCTCTTGCCACAGCAGTAAGGTGGGCTGCTCTACAGCCACTTGTAGAGAGGCATGCGACTGCAGCAGTGGGGAGAGGGCCCGGTAATGGCCCAGGGCCAGAGGTGATGCACACATTCCTTACTACGGCATGGCATGGCACAGTACGGCGCAGAGAGCAAGGTACTTACGCCATGACTATCACACTGAAGTCTAGCCAATTCCACGGGTCCCGGAGGAAGGTGAACGCATGCAGGCAGAAGCCTCGAGCCAGAATCTTGACCAGAGACTCAAAGGTGTAAATGGCAGTGAAGGTGTACCTGGGAGGAGAGACCCGCAAGGTTTCTCAGGGAGGCTGCTGCCCGCGGGCCAGATTGGCCAGGCTCCTCACACGCAAGCAGGAGGCCTGTACAGCTCCTTTCTTAAGGAGCCCTCGTACGAGACCCTCGGCCATGCCCCATGGCAGAGCTGGAGCGTTGGTCCAAACATTGGACTAATTATTTCATCTTCACACGTTTACTCAGCATTGCTGAGTGCTCGCCATGCACCCGAATTTTGCATTTTCCCTCCTGCTTATTTTGGCATGAGAAAGACCCTCGACTTCTTGCCTCACCCCAGCCTGGGGGGCCATGCACACAGGCAAATGGTGGCCACTGGGTCTACCCTGTAAGGCCACCCAGATCATTATCACTCCCTCACCCTTGCTTGTGGGTCCTCAGCAGCTAGTGACAGAAGCATGGTCCATGCTCAGCTACCTGCGGGGGCTTGGAAAGGGGGCTGAGGGTCTAACACCTGAGGCTGGGCGGGGTGGCCTGAAGAATCCTGATGCCTAGATGCCAGGACCGTGGCCCACGGACTGGGATGGGAGCCGGCCACACCGGCGCTGCTTCCCTCATCCCCGATGCACTGATGATCCTGTGCGAACACAGCCACAAGACAAGCCACTCTGGTGAGAGAGGCTGTCCCTGATGTTCCATCGGTTCCCTGAAAACAAACCAAACGCCCCAAGGGCCCACCAGGTCTGTTTAAAACTTGTGGGTAAGGTACTTTTCATTTGAGAAGGATGGCCTGGAAGTAAACCATGCAAAGGGTCACTGGAGGCCGCAGAGGTAGTCCTGAAGTGGGGCCAGCCCTGGGCCTTGCCCAGCTGCTAAACCCCCTGGCCACATCCCATTGGACAAGGTGTGCCTGGCACACACTAAGTCCTCGATAAATTATCAGGGTTTTCTTTCAGAGCCTTCTCTGATGGGCCCAGTGCTCTTCAGGGTGGGTCAGGAGGGTATCTCCCATTTTTGCCAACCCAGAGAGCTTCATCCTCAAGGCAAGAAGCTGGCAGGACCAGGAGTGGCCAGAGAGGGAAGGGGCTGGGCCAAGGTCCCTCCAGTTGGGCAAGTCCTGCCGGTGACTTCAGGGGTGACTTCTGGGGCCACAGTATGGAATGGAAAAGAAGGGAGGGAGGGGGCAGGCTACTGAGGCCTTAAGATACTCACTCGACATACTTGGTCCAGGGTGGAGGGTCGTGCTGGGCCATGAACACGCAGTTGGTCAGGATGGTGCACATGATGAGCATACTGAATAGCGTAGCGCTGGTGTCAAGGAAAGCCGTGTGCAGCGGGCCAGCCAGGCCTCTCCTGCCATAGGGTTCTGTCCCCGGGGTTGTCACTGCCATGCCAGTGCTGCCAGGTCAACGAGACAGGGGCTCCGAGGGGACAGACTGGTTGCCAGTCCCTGCCAACAACTCCCCACTGAGGCCAGCCCTGTCCTCTGCCCGGCACTGGCGGCTGGACCCCTGCCCTGCTCTGTAGCCTCTTTGGGGGCCAGCCACCAGACACCACACCATTAGCAGAGTCCCACACAGGGTCCTGGAGGGCAGGGAGGAAGACCCTCGGACCACAAAGGCTTTTACCCACAGCCATGGGGGAGTGCCGTCCTTAGCCCCACGAGGAGGAGGGATTTAGAAGCTGTTCCTCAGGGGTTACTGCTGGGGGGAGAGGACAGTGGGGCTCCCAGTTCTCTCTCCTCCCTTCCCAGAGGCTTTTCACCTTTGGCTCAGGACTTCTCTGAAGGAGTGTTCCGCTGCCCAAACTTATACACCCTGTCAGGACACACTGACCCAGAGGGCACAGGAGATGGCTTCTAGTACTGCCTCCTGCCCTTCACACGTGCTCCACCTCCTGCTCTCCTCCTCTCCCTTCGGGAAACTCCTCAGCTGGGGAACCCCCTCTGAGCAGGGGCATCCCTCAGAATGAGCATCCTCTCTGGGCAGCAGCACCCCCTCTAAGCATGCTGCTCGATCCCTAGGTGACCACACCCCAGGGCATGGGGCATCATCTCTCTTTAAGTGTGCTGCTGATCCCTCAATGTCAATGCCTATCTGTTCCCCCCCCCCCCGACCCCCCAGAAGGGGAACTCTTCAGATGTCAGGACTGTTGTGGGCATACTTCTGGGCCTCCGGTCTTGAATTGAACTGCCCCGGGCTTGTCTGATCCCTGACTCTCTGGCTCCTTCTCTGCTGCTTCAAGCTGGATGGAGCTCTGACTAACCCCCACGGGTCCCTCTCATCTCTGCCAGACCTACAGAGGAGCAAGGGGCAGACCTTGGTCCGCGTAGGGGCTAGGGCACCTCCAAGGGGCCTGAGCCAGAACAGACACCCTGCTGCTCTCACAAATTCCCTCCTCAGCCCAAGAAGAGAGGCTGGGCTTCCTGTGCCCGGTGGCTGCCCCCAGGCTCACGATGTGGCCCCAGTCCCAGCTCTGCAAGCAGCAGCTGCCCGCCTGAGAATCCCTCCGGCTGCCAGGGAGCTGAAGTAATTGAGCCCTAGGGGCCTGCCTCTTTCCTCCCTAGTAGAGCTCCACCCTTTTCTAAGGCCTGGCGGGGCCTCAGGTCTGAGGGGGAGACCAGTGCAGTCACCCTGGAGACTGGGCTTAGCTGGGGTGCTGACTTCTGGGAGACAGCGATGCTGTCCCATCTGGGGAGAGAGAGGAGGGGAGGGAGGCCTCTCAAAGGATCTAGATGCATGCCCTCCACACTCAGTCCTCCTGCTAGGGAATCCAGGGGATCAGGAAATAGCATGCCAAGCCCCACCCCCAGTTTATAATGAATTCTCCAATTTCTCACCTGAGATGAAAGAGGATCAGGCTTTGGGAACCTCCCTCAGCTATAGCAGAGCTGCTCAGCTCAGAGGCCATCGCTCCATGAAGCCCTGATTCCTCCCTGGTGGGAGGACACCTCTCTAGGCCCAGGTGTGTGTAGGGGGGTGTCCCTCAGCTTGAAAGTGGTCCATCCCTCTGCCTGTGGGCAGGTCTCCATGGCTGAGACTCACTCCCTTCTCTCTTACACACGCACATGTTCCCTACACCCAGGCTCTGTGCCAAGGCTGTCCTTACTGGGCAGACAGTTAATATGCCCCTCAACCAGCTTTATTCACTGCCCTCTCCCGTACCCCCACCTGGCCAGATCCACTACTGTGGATCCCAGGTGATTCCTGAAATATGAAAGTAATGACCCTAAGAGCAAATATTTATTGAGCCCTTCCTAGGTGCCAGGCTCTGTTCTCTGTAACCATTAACTAATTCAATTCTCCTAACAACCCAAGGGCAGTGTGTGTGTGAGGGGAGGATTTGTCTCCATTTTGTTCATGAAGAGACTGAGGCACAAGGTCAGACAGGAGGTTACTATAACAGGGAGAGAAACAGTACCCACCCCGCCCACCCCAACCACATCTTCATCCCTGACAAGCACAAATGCTAATTTCTTCAGCAAAAGGAATTTATGGATGTGATTAAATTCAGGGTCTCGAGATGGGAGAGCACCTTGGATTGTCTGGGTGGGCCCAATGTCAGCATAGGGTCCTTCTAAGTCAAAGAGGCAGGCAGGAGGGTTGGATGTCTGTGGGATAATTGCACCAGGAGTTGCTGGCTTTGCACATGGGGGTGCCACAAGCCAAGGAGTCTGCACAGACTCTAGAGACTGGGGAAGACTAGGAACAGATTCTCCCCTAGTGCCTCCAGAGAGGAACGCAGCCCCGCCAATACCCCGATTTTAGCTCAGTGAGAACTTCTTGGATTTCTGACCTCCAGAACTCTAAGATAATAAATTTTTGTTTTTTAAACCACGTTTGTGGTCATTTGTTGCAGCAGTCACACACTGTCGGTACAAGGCTGGTCAATGGCACAGCCCAGCTCAGAGCCCCGGGCTGGCCAGCTCGGGACCCCCAAACAGCCCTGCTGCTGCACTGTCTCTGCATGACAATACCAAGGGTCAGTCTCTCTGCCTCCAGACCAAAGGGCTGGGGGGAGTCACCCTGCTTCAGGGGGAAATGCTACCCCAAACTTGACTTCTACCATTCACAGGGCAGTAAACCAATGAGTGAAGGGCTTTGTAAAGTGTGAGCAGACTGCCACCCAGGGGAGGGATGAAACTGTTCATTATTTTAAAGAATAAACCTAAAGAGCATGTGTGCCTGGCCCTGGGTGGGAGACAGGAGGCATCTGAACAGCTTCATGATGGGATATTATGAGAAACCAGACCAGCCTCTGGCTGGGCAGGAAGGCTTCCTGGAGGAGAAGGCATTTAGGCAGGCACCCAATGCTGGGCAGGGTTCCTTCAGCAACCTATCAGCGCAACTGGTCAGGGTGATGAGGCAAGGTGGGCTGACTGGGGGAGATCCCTCTCAGTGCTCTCACTAGAGCAAAGAAAAGACCCTTGGGCAGAAAACAGCAGTGTGAACAGGCTGCTCTGGGCCAAAAGATTTGGCTGGAGTTCAGGTGAGCTGAACTCAGGCAGCAAGACTTAGAGAAGAGCCAAAGTAGACAGCCCTTCTAAGTGCTGCCAGCCAGGGCCTGGAGCCCATCCTGGGAAATGACAGGAGCTGCCTGCCTGGGTTCTGGCTTTTCTAGACATAGTAACAGGTTAAGGTGAGGTGCAGCAAACTAGACTCTGGAGGCCCTTGAGTGCTGGAAGTTGCAGCAAACTCTAGACTCTGGGGGTCCTTGACTGCTGGAAGCCCTGCCTGGCTCTCTTGACCCCGTGGATGGTCATTCCTGTATGTGTGTGGTCTCCTCCTACCTAGAAGTGCATGATTCTGCTCAAAGCATCCCCAGGTCCCCCATGGAGCTCAGCAGTAGGCCAATACCAGAGAAATGAGTCAAGTGTACCCCAGGCCAGGGCACACCTGTTTGCACTGCCTGGCAGTCTCAGGTTGATGACTAAGCTGGCCCCATGTATGGGCAGAGGCAAAGGCCAGCTCTCTAGGTGGGAGCTCAGCTGAACATCTTCAATCCTGTGGTGTCATTGTGCCCCAACACCCACTCCCAGCCTCATTATGAAAATGCCAGTAAGGACTGCCTGCATGGGTGGCAGGGAATGCCTGAAACTTGGCCTGCCTGTCTTTGGATCCCAAGGAGTCAAAAAAAAAATGCTCGCAAACAGAAGGGATGCCGTGGGGGGCATTTTCATATATTTGTGCCATTCAATGAACATGCACACACACACACACACACACACACTCACACAAACACACACAAACATGTGGTTTGATTGCCCATTTGAATCTGCTAGAGAAACGTGGGTGGATTTTGTGAACAGATCCTGTGCACCCAGGAAGGCAGAAAGCTGCTCCGTGTGAACGTGAGGCCTCTCTGAATGTGACTGCAGTGGAATTGGGAGTTCAGTTGGTTTCTTTTATTTAATCCTGGCAGGAACACACTCTGCAGGATTATAACAAAAATACATTGGAAAAAATAATTCTACATACCCATATTTACTTTTTAGGCCACTTCCCAGGGATGCACTGCAAGCATGGAGCACAGAGAAAAAGCCACTAGCATGTCGCCGTGAGTGCCTGCATCATTAGTAGTGAGTGGGTTTTCTTCCTTGAGAGCAGGCGCTGCCCTCCTGCTCCTTCCTAAATTTGTCTTTGGCCCCTTGCCCTCTCCAAAGGGCCTAGCACATAACTGCATGTGTGGCTCCGGAGGTGTCTGAATGGATATGAAAATGTAAGCTAATCATGGGTAAAGATTTTCAGTTTTGCAAGATGCAAAAGTGCTGGAGATTTGCTACATGACAATATGCACATAGTAAACACCACTCAACTGTACACTTCAAAATGGCTAGGATAGTAAATTTTATGTTATGTGGGCTTTTTTTCCCCACCACCACACAAGAGAATGTAAGCAGAGCGAAAGTTCATTATTTGAAACACAGAATCTGTATGCATTCAAAATTCATAGCGACTGATAATGGGCACGGGATTCCTTTTTGGGGTGATGATATGTTCTGGAATTGGAGAGTGGTGATGGTTGCATCACCATAGGAATATACTAAAATCTACTCAATTGTACGCTTAAAAAGGGTAGGTTGTGTGGTACGTGAATTATATTTCAATTAAGAAAAAAAAATGCGTGGACAGTTTGGGGATTCCCAGGCTTCACACTGGAGCTTCTGGTCTGGTAAGGGCCAGGAATCTACATTTTAAATAAACTGCCCAGGTGAGCCTAAGGTGATCCTCACAAAATGACAGCTGCTAACAACTGCCCAGGGTGGTGTGTGCTCGGATTGTGGGATCCTTGCAAAAATGCAGGCTCTGGGGTGGGGCCCGAGATTCTGCAATTCTTACAAGATCCTCACGATACTGCTGCTACTGGTCTATGTGCTACACTTTGAATGGCAAGGCTCAAGGGCACAGAGGGGCTGCTCCCAAACCTTCCCCCGCAACCCAAGATATAGACCCTTCCTCTCCCCCATTGCCCCCCGAGACCACTAAGGGGCGCTGTTGAGGGCCAGCGGAGTGCTCCCAATCCCAGGCAGTGGAGTGTCAAGGCAGCCCCTGGGAGCCCACTGCAGGGCCTCAACCATGACAAGCCACCTCCCTGGGGCCGCTGCCCTGGGGAACACAGGCCAGCTCTGAGGCCTCAGGGTGGGTTGCGCCGGGGGCAGCAGGTGGTGGGGTGGGCAGGCGGGGCCAGCCCCACACAGCCTCAGCCACTGCTCAGTGGATCCTCTGGCCAGGCTGGGGATGTCAGTTAGGGTGGCTTCATCTGGCTGCCCCCACCCCGGCCCAGTCCAGGGCCCTGCTGGAATCCTGGGGCTGCCGCTGCATCCCTGGGGGCTGCCGTGGCTGCCAAACAGTGCTGGGTTGGTTAGATACCTGGAGGAGAAGCCCCAGGTGGGAGGTGGAGCATGCTTTCAGGGAGGCCACGCCCTTGGAGTGAGGTGGAGACAGCTTAGACCAAGTGAGAAGGCTGGCCTTTCCTCCTCACCAGGCTGTGCCCACACGCTGGCAGGAATGACAACTATTCTTGTAGAGGTCTTATCGCTCTTAGGGGACTGTAAAATTCCCAAAGGGGCAAAGACAGGGTCTTATTCAGCTCCATATACCCAGGGTGCCAGGCTAAGTGCTTAGGAACATTTGCAGAATGGTTCAAAATTCAATCTGGAACTACTCTTGACTCACAAAGTAAGATGAAGCTATGAACCCCAGGCTGCCCCCTGAATAGAGCCCCTTCCCATGGTGTCTGCCCCCCCTAGAGCCACCCTGCTGCTCCCACAGCCATGGCAGCACGTGGGACTTGCCCTGCAAACACACATCTCAGGAACCCCACAAGGAAGGCAGGAGCAAGCCAGAAGAGGGGACAGAGCATCTACGTGCAGAGAACAAGTTTGGCACTGAGCCCCTCCAATTAACCCCTGCAGTGAGGATCAGGGACTGGGCACAGGTGGGCAGGGAACCAGGAAGGGGCATCCCTCATCTCCGCCTGGACAGAAAAAGCCCCTGAGCTGTCAGCATCTGCCTGCGTCACTTAGCTCCTCATGGGGCAGCTGTTTTCCTGAAGCCTCCTGCCCTCCTCGGAGGTTGATGGGTCGTTGCCTCGGCCTCAGGAAAGGTCCATCCAGAGTGGGGATCTGAGGGGCGACCGTGGGCAGCCTGCCACACCCATGGCTAATCATGCTGCAGAGCCCAGCGGCATTGATTCAATTAACAGCCCAGCCAGCTGCCAGCCAAAGGGAGGCTGCCCAGGCCCGCGCAGGGAGACACAGACGCCTCTGGCTGCATGCAGACACCCGTCTCCCCGCCTCCCCATCTGGGGGGCCCCTTTTCTGAAGTCCGCAGAGCAGCCGTGATTGGGTGCTGGCACCCCGTCCCACATCCCATGTCCCACGTGGCCTGAATGAGGCCCCCTGAGGGCCCAAAGGCCAGTCCTGTCCCTTGTCAAACTGCAGCACTCAGGGGCCGCTCCTCCCCAGCCGGCAGCTTTTTTAGGCTGCGGTTTATATAATTTAACGCTAACCAGAGTTCTTTGAGATAACTCTGAAACTGCAAACATTTTGTCAACACCTAATCAAAAAGCAAGTGTTGCCTCCTTTGAAGGATGCCCACATATGAATAAACCAGAGGTCTCTTTACTGGGAAGTGGCTTCTCCTTGGCTGAGCCCCAGTGACCTGCCCGAGGTCCCCGCAAGGGGATGGGGAGGAGGCTGTGGGAGGGGACTTTGGAGCCAAAGCAGAGCCGGGGGACACTGACAGACCTCCTGTCCTCTGGGATCCTCAGCAGACTGGCTTCTAGGATGTGTCTCTACTGAAGAAGCAGGGTTTCCCCCAACTTTCATGTGCCCAAGAATCCCCTGGGATGTTGCTGAGATGCAGATGCTTATTTGGCAGGTCTGCACGTCCAAGAGCCTACATTTCCAACCAGCCACTAGGTGATGACCGTGTTGGATGGTCCACAGGGATGGGCACTGCTCTCGGCCCTAAACACCCTTCCCACCCCCGTGTGGGGCCCAGAGGAAACTCGTGGCAGGGACTCACTGCAAAGGATATGAATGAACCAGAATCTTCACGGCCGCTCTCCGGACAGGGTGGAAGGGACTGAGGACATACAAGGCATTGGTGGCACTGAAGCGGAATATGGTCTTGCCTTTATTCAGCACGATGAAGGTCTGTGAACAGAGAGCTGCTTTAGGTTGGGGCAGGAGCCCATAGACCCCTGAGGAGAGAGGATTTTGGGGGGCAGCTGTTGGCTCTGAGCCGTGGAACCCTAGCTAAGGGTTGGGTGGAAGGAAGAGAGGGATTGAGAGAGGGGGAAAGGACAAGGGAGGGCAGCCAGCCCGTTCCGCAGGTCAGCAGCGGCTCACAGTGTTGCCCATGGCTGTAGTGGGATAAGGTCAAGTTTAGGGGAATGTCAGGCTGGGTGGGACTGAGTTTAGTTTCAAAATTACAGTCCTGACAAGAGGGGGGCCTCTCATGATCCTAGCTGAGATTATTTTCCCAGGAGAGGCCAGGATGTGGCTGATGCCCGCTCCTTCCCCTCCACCCTTTTGAGCCCTTCCTGCCTGCTGGGGAGTGATGGGCTAGTTAGGGAGTTGGGTCAGGAGAGAAGACTAACAGGTGAGTGGTAGGGATGGGAAAATGTAGACCCCAGCCCAGGAGAGAGAAGCTTTCCCTGAGGCCCTGTCTCTCTGGGTTCAGGGCAAGTGTCAACCCTAGCCCATCCCAGAGGAGATGACCTAGGGTCTCCCCCCTGGGAGGATCTTAAGCAGCCCAAGGTGGACTTTCTCCCCAAGCTTCCAGAAGATGCAGTCCACCCAGCACAATGGGGCCTGGGACTGGACAGGAGGTGCTGGCGGCTGAGCTACCAGTGCCTCCCCAGCTCCCCAGGCTAAGGCTGGCACAGCTGAGGTGGCATGGCTCTGGGGTTGTGCTTCTCTAAAGGCTGAGCTAGTGAGACAAAGTTCTATTTAATCTGAGCTGGGGAGATCAGCTGACTGGATATATCAAGACCAAAAGCTCTGCTTGTGTCACCCCTTGGGACGTGGGGCAATGTGGTCAGGGGTCAGCAAGAAGAGTCAGAAGGTTAGAGGCCAGAGTCATGCCTGGGCCATGGTTCAAGTATTCCTGATCACAGTGTTAGAAAACAGGGTCCCTGACTGCTTCTAGGCTCAACTGCCACCAGCCCCCAAAAGCCTAGCCCTGCTTTGACTCCATCCTCAGTTGGGTCCTCCTGCCATGCCTTCCGCCTGTCCCAGCTGACTCTAACGTAGCTGTCACTCTGACTGGCCACTGAAAGCTGGACTGGCCACCAGCTTTGACCTTCACTCTGACCCTAATTCTTCTAGCTGTGACCCACCATGACCTAGGCCTATCTACCCTGACTAATCCCAGCTTCTGGCCTCACTCTGACCCCAATGGTAACCCCTGGCCCTGACCTCAACCCCACCTGCATCACCTGAACCAAGGAGAAGCACAACCAGGTTCAAGATCTCTGCTCCCACCTGTGTGTATAGATTGGGTGGGCTCTCCCTTTAGCCACTCACATTCATGCCCACACCCACTCCCATCACACACAGAGACAATGGTGTACCCCTCCCCCGTCGGCTCTTGGTCTAGCTTCAGTCTTAAAGCACGGTCACACACACTCAGGCGCCTGGTGATACGGACACACAAGATTCACACTGCCGCATGTCCACACTTGCCTTGTGAGCACCGACCCGGTCTGCCTGCCAGCGTTTTCCAGGCCTTGGTACTGACTGCAGTGCTGTGAGGAGCTACCTTCTTCCTCAGTACCTGGCCTTCTGGGGAAATGCCTCCACCAGATGCAAACCCTCCTCCCTCCAGCAGTGAGGCCCAGAAGTATGGGCAACTGGCTAGGGACCGGGCCTCTGCAGGAGCCCTGTGGCCTGAGAGGTGAGGCCAGGGCAGGGCACCCAGGTAGGGGAATTCACCTCCTAGGTGGAAATCCCTGCTGGAAGAAAGCCTGAGTTGCCCTGCCTGGTGGTCAAAAGCTGCTTCCTCTCCCTATACCCAGGAGGACGATGGCAGAATGAGCTCCCTCCTCATCCCTCTCAGGCCTCCTGTTGGCCTTCACAGACTCAAGACCACCTGCAAGGCCCAGCAGCTGCTGCTACCACCCCAGCCCGAGCTACCCAGGCACAGCCAGCACCCAGCGAATTCTCCAGGCAGGAGGGTGTGGGCTACATGCTGTCCCGAGTAGGAGAGGGGACCACGTGCTGTGCTCTGGAGCCCACACTCAACTCAAGACCGGACTTAGGACTCAAATCCAAATTGCCAGCCCTGCAGGACGGGAGGAGTCTGCCCAAGGGGAAAGTCTAACGGCAGAGGACTCCCACAGAAGGCACACCACAAGGAGGCAAGATTCAACTGTGACTGCCCGCTTCTTCTCTTCTAATACCAAACCATATCAGGCTGCGTAATTCTGGCTTTTATTCTGGAATAAAATTAAAATGATTGGAATACAGATCCCCAATGACTCACTCCCCCAGAGCCCAGGGAGCCCACCCCAAACACAGCCCCATATGGAGGCGAGGCCTTCTCCCTATCTGCTGCGCTGACAGGGGAGCTGCAGGAAGGTGTGGGCAGGGAGGTGGGCGGCAGTCACCTTTTGGGTGCTATAGAAGGGGTCCAGGTCCTCCAGGGGCTCCCCGATGAGCTCTCGGGGCGGGTTGCCATAGAGATCTGGCAGCTTTTTGGAGGCCTGCAGGTCCAGCTGGGGCCGGGGAGCCTCCTCCTCGGGCAGCCCTTCCCGGCTCTCCTGCGAGGCGGCCGAGCCTCGGGCTTGCTTCTCTGCCATGCGCTTCTCGATGGCCGCCAGGGACTCCCGGGTGAACCTGCGGAAGCTGCTGGTGCCCCGAGGTAACAGGAAGTCTGCCATCTTCTCATCCTGCTTCTGGGGCACAGGCAGTCCTCGTGTGGCCTGTGGGGAAGCCAGAAAACACAGACGCAGTGCGTCATGCTATGTCCAGGCCCAGGGGGCAGGGTGGCCACACCTGCTGGGGAGGGGCTGTGCTGGTGGAGGGAAGGACGAGGTCTGCCCAGATGGTCCAGGCCACGGTTCCCAACCTCTCCAGAGGCACACCTGGCCGACACGGGCCTGGGCAAACCCAAGGTCCTCCAGGCTATGGGTTGCGTGGGGACCCGAAAGATGGTCCCCTTCCCATCCCTATGAGCACATCTGATGGCAAGTAGGCAAGAGGGGCTGTGTTGCTCAAGTCCTCTGTTCTGCCCTACTCAACCCAAAAGTGAACACTTGCACCTCTTGGTTCTTTAACCAAGCCACAAAGGTACTGACAGTCTCTGGACTAGGAGGGACACTCCCTGGGGCAGGTCTGGGACCTGTCATCTTTTTATTCCAGATCCTTGGCAAGGCTGGTCCTGAGCAAATGAATGATGGTAGGAATGATGAAGATTATGCAGGTGAGGGAAAGGCATTAGAAGGTACCCAGTGCCACCCCTGCTCTCAAGCTCATCCCTTCTATAGGAAACCCTGGGGCCTGTGGAAGGTGATCAGAGGCCTCCTGGGCCAGCGCCCAAAAGCACCCACTTCTTTTCTGGGAAAATACAACCTGGGCGGTGGGGCAAAGGGTGGGGGATACTCTGTCTGTCTCCCCACTGCACCATCTGCCTGCAGGGGGAGGGTGCCCAGACTTTACTTGGGGCATGGAGGTACCAACACATGAAGGGGCATCTGTGTCCACCCAACGAGACCCAGGTAAATCCCATGGGTTTTTGGAAACAACAGGGTAACAATTTTGGAGTTGTCATCCAGATGCTACCCTGGGGTACACACGGGTGATAAAGCCCTGCTGAGAGGACCCTCCTCAAATCCCCAGGATGGGCATCTTTCCAAAAATGGGAAACTCAGAGAATCGTGGACTCTTCACACCTCTCCACTTGATCCCCTCCTCCCCCATCTGAACAAATGAGAGCTGATACCAAGTGACAGCAGAACCAGAAAATAGTCACCACCGTCCACTGGGGCATCCAACCAGCACACACATGTGATGCCAAACCGGGAGAATGTGGGCCCCAGTGGCCTCAAACGATCCAGGACCTGGTGTGAACATGCTCTGCCTATGACATGGAGACCAAAGAATGTGCTCCTGACTGTCCCAACAAAACAGGATGTGGCAGACACAGCTCCTGACTGGGACACCACCGGGAAGGGAGAGGCGGTGTCGCTAATTACCACATCAAACCCAGGAATGGCTGGGCACTAGCTCAAGAGGGCAGGGTGGACACCTGTTGGAGATCTCTGCCAGGACAGAATCCCTTTCCGTCAACCAAAGGCAGGCTTTGCCTTGATCTCACTCCCGTGAAACATGTCACCAGTGACCCCAGGGATCTGCCACACCGACCCTTGCACACAGCTTCAAAGGGCCCAGGCCCGGGATTGCTGTGAGGCAGGCACCTGGCCAGGTGACAGGTAAACAGTGAGCAAGCACAACACAGCCAGGTCTCAAGAGGGCTCCTCCGGTCCCCAGGGAAGTGCAGCAAGGAATGCGTGAAGGCGAGTCAGAGGAGAGGTCCTAGGACCTAGCACTTTAAGAACCACTCCATCCCTCAGGGTCTTGTTCCTCTGTTTCATTCAAGTCAAGTTAAAGGAACATCTCTGTTAAAAATAGCAGGTGGGGGAGTAAGCTCTCATTTTGTAAAAGCATGTCCCTGTCTAGCTTCCATCTTTGAGTGAGCAAGAACGGTGTCTGTAACACTCATCACCAAATGTGAATGGTGACTTTTTTTCCTCCACCGATAAACATTTGGGTAATTTTACACTTTCTTTTTTGCCCTTTTCTTCAGTGCTTGAATTGCTTATGCTGATCTTGTATTATTTTTATAAAAACAACAAAGTCATTAGGCTTTACTTAAAAAAGAAGAAAGAAAAAAAAAAAAGCCAGTCTGGATGACAACAGCCCTTTCAGGGCAATTCGCTCCACCATCAGCAATCACTAGTCAAGTAAATCAGGAAGCCTCCTCTTTGGCTTGGAATTATTTCCTAAAAATAGTGTTCTCTGTCTCACTGTATCCATCTGTGTCCACATGCCTGCAAGGGTTCTGGAGACACGTGTATGCTCATGGACCTGCAGAGGCTCACCGGCATATACTGTGTGTGTGTGTGTGTGTGTGTGTGTGTGTGTGTGTGTGTGTGAGAGAGAGAGAGAGAGAGAGAGAGAGAGAGAAGGTGCATGCACATACAAGCTTACACCTGCATATACGTCTATTCTAGTAAAGGTGGTTTCAAAATGTGTATTGAAATCAATGATTCATGCAGATTGGTGCACAGAGCCTAAGTGTACAGGTGGGCGAACTTCCGCAAACTAATCACACCTGGTAACAGCACTCGGGTCAAGAAAAAAATTGTCCCCAGTCCCTCACACTTGGATTCCCCTCCAGTTGCTGACTACCCTCCCCGGTCAAGGGCAACCACTCTTTCTTGACTGCTAACAGCATAGATAGCTTTGCTTGTCTGCGGAGTTCAGGGGTTCCTAACAGCCTCCTGGACGGATGGGAAAGAATTCAGGGCAGGAAGAACCACTTCTCCCTCTTCCCAACGTCTAACTGCAACTGAGCACTTCCCTCAATTATGAATGCAGGCAGCAAAGTGATAGCGTTAGCAGTGCCTGTGACCAAGAGAACCTGCACATATTTTCCTATTCCGTGACAGGTGCCGCAAACATCTCAAATATCAAGAAGGCTTATTGATACTTAAGCATTGCAATGCTTATTAGACCCACTGCCAGATCTTATTATTGAACACGTTAATAAAGAAGTGCTGACGAGGGGAGCCTAGGTCGAGAGAGGGTCTTGTTCCCAGTGGCCTCCAGTGGAGCACCCAAATCCTTAGAACTCGGTGGTTTCTGAACCCAGAGGAAGTTCCCTGCGCCCGGGCAGCCAGGCAGCCTCAGGTTGCAAAGTAAACCAGTCAGGAGTGTCCTTTGTCTCAGGCCCCGAAGGCGGTGCATGGTGGGCGGGCAGAATGGATCCATTTTCTCCCTTGTTCTCTCCCTGCCTGCACCTGGCTTTGGCCTTGTTCTTCCTTCAGCAGCTCAGGGCCCACGCCCTGTCTGTGGCTGAGATTGGCTGAGTCCTGGCTGCAAGGTTTCCGGTGATGCCAGGGTAAGGAGGGGCTGGGGGGCGGTCCGAGGACACTCCAGGCTCAGGCCCAGCCATACACCGCAGGCCTAGGGGACAGGCCCCCTGCTTGCCACGGGAGGCCCCACTTCTGGCTGAGGTAGAGCAGAGGGTCTCTGTCTTGTACGGATCCAACATTTGGGGAAGCCTGGGCCTGATTGATTCCAAGACCATTCCTCTAGAAGCAACACCCCCACGACTGTCTCCTCCTGTCCAGGACAGCTTCTCCGTCTACACTTACTCCGTCTACACTTGGCCCTTAGCTCTTCCCTGGGCTGAAACAGCTTCTTCCAAGGGACCACTCTTCTCAGCCTGACTTAAGTGCAAAGGGCCCCTGACTCCATCCTATTCCAAGTTTATTATTTCCATTTACTGGGGGCATCTCCCCCAAGGTTCTGCTGGCTCCCAAGAGTTCAGGGAAGCAAAATGTGAACCCTCCCCCTTTTTTTTTTTTTTTAAGATTTTATTTATTTACTCATGAGAGACAAACAGGGAGAGGCAGAGACATAGGCAGAGGAAGAAGCAGGCTCCCTGCGGGGACCCCAGTGTGGGACTAGATCCCAGGACCCCGGGATCACGTCCTGAGCCGAAGGCATTCACTCAACCACCAAGCCACACAGGTGCCCCATGAACCCTCCTTTTTAAACTCTTTCCTCCTGATCCTTTCCTCTGACAAGGGCTACACTCTCAAAGCACCATCAAACACCCCAGCCTCCACTCCCACTGTTGCTCCCAGGGACGGGCCTCCTCTCCCAGCTGGGACTGTGCTGACCTCATGGCCATTGGCCTCCCCCCTCTTTCCCCTTCCATTGTCCACAGGCAGCTCTACCACTCCTTGTCTCAACCATCCCCAAACACATCCCCTGTCCTCTGCCCTGTGTGATGGCAAGGCCACCTCAGGCTCTTCTCACCACCCCACCTTCTCCAGGACACCTTCTATGGTTGCCCACCCACACCTAACTCCCTCCTCTGGGCATCCAGCCCTTTCCTGCATCCCGGCCTCAGCTGCTTTCTGTTAGTCCCTGGGGGGAGTCTGATTTCACCAAACAGCCTGAAAACCTCTTCTGAGGGGAGGGTCAGGTCCCCCTCCCTCTTGAATCTCTGGCCTGTACATGTGGGGATTCACAACAGGATGGAGATGCCATGAGGGACACTAGGATTGCCCAGAAACCAGAGCCCTATGGACTTGCCTCCTCTAACTCTTCAGTTGGCCTTCCTGAAGGAAGATCCTGAATGTATGGGGCACAGAGCTGGTGCTCAATCCATAGTGGTGACAATGCTATAACGTGGAACATGACAGAGTGCAGCTGTGGAGACTGTCCAGGGTTGGGGCATGATGCTCCAGACTTCTCTGGTTTCAGCATTAAGATTCCTATAGCCTGAGAGGGGATACCCTTCCGTCCAGGACAAACCAGAATGGCTGGTGCCCTGTGGGGTGAAGAGGGGCTGGCCTAACCTCTTCTTACAGTGCTTTCCAGACCATTCCCCTCCGGGATCCCAAGGCAGGCATGCTCCAACATCCTGAGTCACTTCTAGCATTTCAGTGCCTTGGAATCGCAGCCTCTGAAACACAGTATGCAAAGAATATTCTTTGCCATGTAAATTTATGCAAGGCGCTCTGTGGAAGTGGTTCCTAGGCTTCCTAGAAAATCTCTACTGGCTTCCTCTGCTCCTCGCTCCTCTCTCCTGCCCTGGAGGCTCAGGCCATCTGTGCTCTTGTGCCATGGCCCTGCCTCCTACAGCCCCTCAGTCCTAAAGCAAGAAGCTCAGGGGAGAGCGTGTGGT